ACCAGCCAGTGTCAGGCAGTATTCCCCGATAACGTCCCTGACGAACCTTGATCGGCGAACACATAAAAACGTAGCGATAGTCCGCTTAGGTCCGCCCCACCCGCGAGCTTGAACGTCGCCATCTTCATTGACTTCGGCAACTTTTGCTGCCCGACTACTACAAAGTTATCTCCATCGCCAAACTCAATCGTGACGACATTTTGACGTCACCGCGAACTTCATTATTTCACCAGCATAGCTCGAACTCCATCGGGATCCGTAGGGAAAAACTCAATCGCAACGTCACATCACGTGACCAAAAGGGCAGCCAATCAGCGACCGATTGAGTTAACTTCATCGTTGAGTTTGCGATCTAGCATAGACAGACTGGTCACGTTGGCATGGTAAGTTAGGAGAGTAAGGAGGGAAATGAGAAAGAGGGGAGGCGTCAAGGGAGCATGGCTTGTGGAGGCTACGCGGCCCACGTCATGCCCTCTCCTACCCTTCTATTCTCCATGGTTTCACTCGCGCTGGCACAGTTCGAGTTCTCTCCCAGAATGCATCGCACTCACAGAGTGTTGCATGGAAAACTGGACTCAAACGAACTCGCCAAATGCACCGAGTGCAGAAGGCAGTGGCAGAAGGCTGATGCTGCCGCCATCTATGTTGTAGAAAAGGTACCGATTTAAAACCGAAACTAGCGCCTTTCTGTTCGGAGTGATGCGTGGGAATGTGAGAATGTAGTCGCTACCAACGTTTATCTACAAACGTTGGTCGCTGAAACTTGTAGTTTATAGTTGCGATAACTTCAAGCAGCTCGGCTGCCGTACAGATAGTTACAGACGGCGTAAATTTCCGCAACCAGCTGTCTACAAAACAGCTGGTTGCTATCTTTCAATTCTTATAACCGTTTACACTGAAGAAAACTGATGATGCTGTCCGAGCTCAGGAGCTTGATCCGTTTGAGCATGGTATTATGCGTGAACCACTCAAAGGGTACGGCTTAGAACTAGCCTGTTTGAATATCCAGCACTGGGACTTTCGATTTGGATTGCCATTATAGGTGGATTAGATATCAGCCTTAGTGAGGGCGTCGAGAACGAGAGCTTTCTCAAACAAAATATGACGGGGCAAGTTGGCTGATGTAGGTAAATGTTAAACATGATGATGTTGCCCAATCCTCGGGTAAAGTCACCATCTTTAGCTTTCTCTGATGCTTATTAGGCAGTCAGAGGTTTCTGCTGGGGGAGTTCTGTCGACAAATGTTAAATTTTTCACCCGCACGCGGATGGTGATAGACATCTCGGGGGCCGCGGTTGCGTTTGTTCTGAGCATTTATTTACACAGTGGTATATTTCAGCGTTTGTACGGCAACAGAGCGATTTAAAACCTGCAAATAAATCACGGATTGTCAATTGCTTCCTTCGTGAAATAACAGAAGCTCACAATTCAAGCTCGCGTTTGATTTCGTTGCCCGCGGGACGCGATTTCTATCAGAAAATCTACTTTTTTCTTTTTCCGTTCGGTTCCGCGACACATCGTAGCAGACGAACCCTCGTCGTCTGCTCCCGCTCCTCGCCGGCCCCGCCGGAGCGAGGCATGACGGGATTGCATTTTGGCGCACTCCCGATTTTCTCGGTGCAGCGAGTGCATGCACGCGTGGGGTGTCAGCGCTGAAACGAACTCGAAGAGTGCAACCACTCGTGGAGTGCCGGCCGAAACGAACCCGATCCACGCTGCGAGTGGGCACGCGTGGGCACGAGTGCCGTGAAACGAACTCGCCAATAGAAAAATGCATTTCCACAGTCACAGGAAAGTGCAAAACCAAGGAGAAGATCTTGGACAAAAGACCACTAGTGGTCCTGCCATATATACACAATTTTTCACACCGGATAAGAAATATCGCCGCAAGGCACGAAGTCAGAGTATCTGCCCCTTTCAGGCTCAAATGACTATGCAGGAAGGTCAACAATGAAGTGGACGAGACTAACGGCAAGGCGCTGTGTCAAGTGAAACACAGGAGCAAATTTGTTGAACGTGTCGAAGGTGTGGTATACAAAATACCACTGTCGTCCTGTCGTGTGGAAGATCCTACGTCGGGCAGACTGGGAGATGCCTTAACGAGAGACTAAGGGAGCACAACCATGCATGCGGACAACTGCAAGCACCTGGCAACCTTGCAGCGCATTGTTCGAAATGCAACTGCAAAGCTCTCCTTGACACTACTTGCATCTTGGCCAGATCAAAGGACAGAACAAAGCGTGAAATAATCGAGGCTTTTCACATGGCCTCGGGTAGCCACGGAGCGTGCGTCAGTGAGCCATCACTAGCTTTGCGACAAGAAGAAATAGATCTACTCAATAAGATACCAAACATATCGGAGCAAACATTAGGCCCCAGGTAAAAGCTACGAAAACACACCATTCAGTTCGCATATCAAAGAGGCAGCTACGGCAAACACCATGAAGTTCAGAAGCCAACAAATTCAAGACATCAACCATTCGTTTTCATAGCCGCAATTTCGGAAATACGGGTCGGGGGAAGGAAAAAGAGAAAGAAATTAAACAGTTGTTAGTCTGCGCCAATTCATGCATGTTTTGTGTGTCCTTCTGCTTTAACGTCATCTTTCCAGTTTTTTCCGCGTAACTACGCAGCGCAGCATTCCATCAATTGTCACCAATGATTCGGAAGTCCCGATTCGGTTCTTATATATTTGTTAGCCATTATAATTTCAACTCAGTGTAAATAATTTACAATACCATGGCGTTTGTATGTGAATGCGGTCATATTAGCGAGTGTGAATTTTAGTTTTATGTTAATTCTTGTAAAATATTTATATATGACATTTTTATTTGCCGAGCTAACAAGTCTGTCAATCCAATTTTTTCGTTAGCCGTCTGACGTCTTCCAGCATAGGAACTAATTTATTATTATTTATTAAAATATAAGAACGTAGTACTTCATTGCCCGAAACTGTCAATTTCTATCATGAATTTAACAAAATCCATAAAAGGAAAGTACAATATATAGCATTTATGCAGCGATGCTTAAGCCTCCTCAAACATTGGGGCAAGGAATGAACACATACGTTGCATTCTATACAACTCGTTTAAAGTTATATGACCCAAGTCGGGTCGCTCTTAGAAATAAGTAATTGTAAAGTAATTTGTGATTGGAATTAATTATTTTTCACGTAGTGGTAATTGTAACTGTAGTTAAACTACTTTTGAAGCAAGAAAAATTGTACTTGTAATTAAATTATATTTTGAAAGTAATTTTCCCATGGCGGCACGTCGTGCACGTAGAAAAACTGAAACCGTATCTAGAGCCTGTTGCGGAATTTTCACTTTCGTAAAACTGTTCAATAGAAGAATGTTTTATACGTGTACAGGACTCGCAGTTATCGCGTGGGACTATCGTGTTTTGTGTGTACTTGAAGCGTCTTCATAACGCCAGTTTTTTTGCGTATTGTCTTCGTCGGGTCGACGCCTTTTCGAGGCGGCGGCATGTGCCGGAGTAAAGTAAACGCCAGTAAAGAAAAGCAAAAAAAAAAAAAAAAGGAAGATCGATAGAGAAAGGGGAAAAAGAAAGGTCACGACGCCTCAACGGAGCCGGACATTAAACGATATATTTCAACGACCAATCAAGCTTCGTCGCAAGGCAAATGTTTTTTCGGCAACAAACAATTTGAGTAATTTATATTTAAAAAAGTAAACAAGAGAATTTAAAACAAAACTGCAAAAAAAATATCCAAACTTTATTTTTTTTATTTTTTTTAGTATACAGAAGTCGGTATATTCTATACCTCTCTCGTGTGGCAAACTACGTCGGACAAACGGGCAAATGTCCACGATCATTTGCGAGAACATCAAAACAACGCAAAAAAAAAAAGATGATCTCTGGCCACTAGGGATTCACTGCAGAGGCTTTGGTTGTGATCCCCAGTTCACAAGGTGCACTGTGTTGGCGTGGTATGGCGACGCTCTATTTACAGAAATTATTGAGGCCGAGATCCGAGAAGATCGAGTGACTCAATGACAAGTGAGTCAGCGTCCCTATTCCGGTTTCGCTGTCTGCCATAGAACTATATACTAATTGGGGAAGTAGTGTAATAGTGTAATGAGCAAAGATTTTCAGTGTGTGTGCGTGCGTGCGCGTGTGCGTGCGTGCGTGCGTGCGTGCGTGCGTGCGTGTGTGCGTGTGTGTTCTTTATACCGTGGTCCTGATTCACCCAAAGAAGTAGAGGAAAAAAAGTGAGTTGTTTAGTCAGCGCTGTGTTTGTCTTTCTATGTGTCCTCTCTTTTTGTCGTTGTTTATAACGCGCTGTTGCTACTAACTGTTGCACCTGCTTCATTACAGACTCTACACACAGCTGACAATTCTCTGTCTGTGGGGTGCCCGTTCCTACTGAAAATTCAGTAGAAGCTCCGCCTTCAGCACGCTCTCGTTGCTTTTCGCCGGGTTTTTGGCGGCGCATACGGCGAAGGTCTTTCAGACAAAGCTATCTATGGAGGTGGAACTTCTACTGAATTCTTAACCTTCCATCGGCTATAGATTGCACAGAAAACAAAGATACTTCTAGAAACAATACAGAAAGAGCGCGACACGGAACGCCCTACTTTAGAATTAAAATTGAACACGAAGAAAGAAAGGACAGCTGCGTGCCCTCTCCCGTACTTTCTTTCTTCGTGTTCCTTTTTAAATCTAAAGTTTAAGTATGTATCTTCAAGTATGTATACCAACAAGCTCAACTCTTAACCGTTAACGCCCTTCGGTAGAGATTCGGCCTAAGAAGTGTACCGCGGTTCTATTTAAATCTACCGCCACTGCACCCCATATGGATGGGTAAATTTTAGTGCTAATGGGTCTACGCGGTCTACGCCGCCTATACGTTATAACGGGCGGTAGCTTGCGCCACCTAGCCTAAAAATGCATTTAAAAGAAGATTGTTTCCAGACAAGTACAAAATTATGCCCATTTTAGCAAACCACATTTCCAGCCGGGCCACACTGACACTGGTTGTGATTTTTTCTTTTTCAAAATGGCGGCCCACGCTGTCTTGCGCAGGATGAATGCCGTTTGGCCTGCAGAGTTCGTTTTTCTATGAAGTCAGTTGTAGTACGTATATGCGCACGTGCTAGTTGTCATTTAAAGCGAAGAAAAAGCGCTAGGTACGTTGTCGCTTCATACAGAACTACGAACCATAACCAAAAGACCCTAAACGTTTTATTGGGCCAGCTTTTGTTCCCGCCGCAGTTTGCCGGACCGGTCCTGTCAGATGATTATGATTTTTCCCCTCCGGGTTGTTTTGTGCATGCAAGCTCAAGATTTCCCTGTCAGAAAACGCTCGTAGTATCTCACAGATGGATTAAGCTCTTAATCTGTCGTTAACGAGAGTCTGCATGGCAGGGAATTCTTCGTGGCTGCTTTCAAATAGAGAAACAAAAAACCGAAAAATGTTTCATTGTGTAACGCACTCATATTTTTTTCTTCAAATTTTGAGGTTTAGTGCGCTGATGTATATTTTACCGCAAAGTGTTGGACGATGCAGAGCCGCGGGTAGTCGTTCGTCTTCGTTTTGTTGGACCCTGAATTCGAGCAGTCGCAGTGCGCAAACCCCACTTGTTACCAGCTTCTAAATGCTCCCATTGTTGTATAAGCTCATATTTCGCAACACTTTTTAGGCGACTGGTACAGAAAAAAAAATATAAATGTATATATATGAAAGATAACGACGGTCGTGAGCAACATACATAAAAACGTAGCGTTCACCACATCCCCGAACCCTTTAACCAGTATTTTGCGTTTCTGGCGTGACTACCGCGTGGTTGCGGAGACGATTCATTTGTGCAACGCATATGCCGAATTCACTAGAACGTAGAAAAACGCTTCTCGTCGCAGGGTGGTAATGAATGGTGCACTTTTCTTGTTGGAGTTTCGTGAAAATGTTCCCAAAGTGCGAGCTATGAAACCAAACTACATATGACATTATTCTGTGGCACTAGTATAGTACTTCCCACACATTGCTGATTTCGAAGGCTGGCTTCGAAGTTCCACTGCTATGGCGTGGACGGGTAAAACGCATGCAGCAGATAAACCTCATAAGTCGGTGGGGGCTACCATGGCACATTGATGCTGTTTTATCAATGACAGCTGGGAGATAAATTCCACCTTGCCTTTGCAAACCTACGTCGATGAGATTTCAGCGTGTGAGCACACCAGGGAAAGTTAACGTGCTTGCGGGCTGTGCCTCTATCTGTCCATCAGCTGAACCAGTAGCACTCTGCATTTGTTTGTTGTCTTCCTGTGTGGTGAGGTGCTTTTCTCCCTGGTCTTCAGGTTGAACAAAGATGCCCAAGCGGCCCCGCAAGTCCGAAACGGCCGTCCAGCGGGCCTCACCTCGAGTGGCCAAGCGCCAGACATCGGACATGAAGCCAGACGAGAACAGCAATGCGGTGCGGAAGTGCGAGAAGGCTAGCTGCGGCGAGGCACGGCCCAGCTGCTTTGCAAGGACTTCCAAAAGGTTGGTCCTAGAATCGCTAGCAAATCTGAGTGCCAGGACTGGGCAGAGACACCCCGAAAAGTATTCAGGAATACAATTAGTGAGATACATGTATTTTAAGGCCTGAATACAGATACACTGCAATCCACTTATAACGATACCACATATAAAAATGTCCTGCTTATAGCAATCAGTTTCTAGAGGTTTTAGACTAGAAACATATAAAGTCTAGTCCAGATACAACAATAATCGGTAATAACGATTGAATTTTTGGGTTTTTCTCATTATCGTTATAAGTAAATTTCACTGTATTGAGATGCAATTGCCCTTTATGTAATGGGATGCCCCAAGATACTCCTCCAGAAAAAGTATGGCAAGTGGGGAAAGCGTAATTCGTGGCGAATACAAACGGTAATTGATACTTGTGCTTCTCTTTTTGTACCATTTTATGCACCTCTCCTTTCCTCAAACTCTTTATCTGTTCAAAGTCATTGTACCTGATGCCGCTAAAAAAGCACTGTTGTCCCCGGTGAACGACATAGTTACTGGAGGCTAATGACTGCTCATCACGATTGGCAAAAGGCGTCTGCCTGAAATGAACCTTGCTGTCATCTCGTGCACTTCTGAGTCACCCAGAGTGGCGAGATTGGACAGCTGAGCCGGATCTGTTCAAAGTAAGGCACCCTAGTTCCCGTGGAACCTGTTGCAACATCAGAAGAAAAGAGGCTCCTCCCTCAAGTTCTGTACTGTCCATTATTGGTTGTTTTCTCTTCTTCGCTTGCCTCACTTTCCAGCATTTTCCCTGCTGAATAGGAAAGAGTGGAGAGCTTTTTGGCAGGAGCTTATTCTGTTATTCTTCACAGAGCATTCGCTCTGTTAATCTGGAAAGAATGAACAGCTTTGTAGGGAATTTATCATGTTATTCTTGCAAGTAACCTCCTCCAAACCACCATTGTCTTTTGTTTTTGTTTGCCTTTTAAATGTTTATGACTGTCATAAACCAGGTTATGGGGCAGGTTTATACTATAAATTCTAGAACACCCCACATTAAACAGATGGTTTTCAATTTATCGTAAAAACTACAACAAAGGTGCTGAGATACCTAAGTCTGCCAGTGTATTGCGATACAAGCGATACATTGTGTAAATGTGTTTTACCGCTGTGATACAAATACATTTTTCAAATGTATCTCGCTACAGAGATACAGATGCTCGAAAGTATCTCGATCGCGATACATTTGTATCGTGATACTGCTCAGTCCTGCAGAGTACCGGCATTCTTTTCCCCCATTGTATGGTGCCACCAAGATAGTCATTCGTCCAGTGACTCGTCGGTGCCGCAACCTTTATGCATGGAGCTGCACGGGCATCTGCGACAGTAACGGTTCTGAAGTGCGCCCTTTTGTGCTGTAGAGATGGGGTTAGGAAAGAGCGTTGGAGCGTCTAGTTGTTTTGTTGTGAACTATTTTAGCAGGCCGGAAGACAGAAAACACTTTGCATCTTACGTCAGACATGTCGGTGGTGACAGAAAAAGTCTCTAGATCGTGGGAAAGTAGCACCATTGCCTTTCCTGCCTGCTAGCCAGACACATACAGATGGCCAAACCTCGCTAATATTTTGGCTGACCAGTCTCGGTTGCCGTGGTAACCGCCACTTCAGTCCATTACAATCTTCGAAGCTTTGAAAGAATCGTTCTGGACCACTCGCGCCAAGATGGCTCTGGAGCATCATCGTACTGAAAACATTCTTCGCCAATATAAGCGTTTTTGGCACTGTGCATGCTATCGATGTATCAATCATGCTTTTCTCTACCAATCTCTTACAAAGATGTTGTTTTTCTTGCGGATTACAAGATAGGAAAATTATTTTTCGATGCCGCCAAGCATTGACGCCGGGTGTGACGGCAGTGCGAAGATGTGCCCTCTTTTCGCCGGTGCATAGATAACAAAATCTCGGTATTCAAGAAATGTCTTTATAAAGTAACCTGTCACCGGGAATTCGGATTGGCTTACCGAGAATGGAACGGTCAAGGAGAACCCGCTCGTTCCATGAACCAAAATGTCGACCCCACAGGGAGCTTGGTGCAACTTTCCCAGGGTCAGGTGACATCAGTGACAGCTGGCAGCTGGTAAAACTACAAGTAATGCTCCTGTAGAAGCCTGTAAACACCTCGGTGCGTCTTACATGTCGCAGATTTCTAACACTCCCAACAGCTCAGCATATGCTGCTGAAGTTGACAAAGCCACTGTTGAAAAGCAATGCGCCTACTACATTGTTACAAGGAGGAGTTTGTAATGTGGCAGCACTTACATTTTTAGGCCAAATGTTGATGCTATGTAAAAAGAGGAAGAAAAACAAGTCAGAAATGCTACTTGAATTGCAGTTCGCTTTGTCAGGTTCTTTTTCAGTGACAAGTAGTTTTGTTAAGATTGTGATTTTGTTGCAAACAATTCCTGCAATTTTTCATATGAAGGTGGTAGTCAGTTTTAGTGGAGTTGGAGAATATGTGCTTCTTTGTAATGTGATTTACACCCTGAAAGTAAAGAGGCATGTTTGTGGTGAAACATAGCATCAACGGACAAAGCAAACACTCTAACAAATGAATAACTTTTTGTTTGTCCTTATCCTGTTGACCACTTTGTTGACAAAACTTAAATCCAGTCAGCGTTTATACAAAATATATTGGTTCAGATGTCTCGAAATTAAGCAATTCCCTTTTTGTTCTACGGGAAGGACAAATTTTATGTAATTGAGGAAATATCGGCTTTTTCATTCCTCGTGGTTTTAGACTGCAGCGAGTATTCATGTTGTACCCGTGTTTTGAGGTTTCCCATATCGTTCATAGCGAATAAAAAGTAAGTTAAGCGGCCTCCATTGGTTGGGATTGTTTCAGATGTTGCGGTGATGGCTACACTTCAAGGTGGAACCATATTTCTTCCGAAGAGCACTTTTGCAACGAGTGCTTCGACTACTACTACCGGACGTAAGTTGTTCCTTTTGCCAGGCTTTCAAGTGTTCTTACAATCGGGGTCGCCGTAACTTGGCTTCAACATCCTTCTGTTAAGGGCCGTTCACATGTTTAATACTTTCCTGTCCTGTAGTGCGAATATGGTTGTGCTGAACAGTTCTTAGTTATGCATAGAAGCTCTGTGTAAAGTCAATTTCCCCATAATTATATTTTTACTGCATCAGTATCGTTATTATCTACATAATCTTGGATCCCTGAACCAGTGTCGCACACTTTCCGTCATTTATATTTGCTTTAGCGAAATTTTGCTATACTGTAAAAAAGGCTTCTAGAATAAAATGAGTTTTTCTTTAAAAACCTGCATTCTGCTTTATTTCACCTTATGATGTACCTCAATAGACACCACAATTCGTTAAAGCCAATTCAATGGCATGCAAGCGTCACGTGGCTTTTGGGAGGGACATAGCGACACACAGTGAGCATAATCATGTGACATATTCGCATCATTAGACTGGCCGAGGTGGCTCGTAGCATCCGCTGCAGTCCATCGTGAGAAGAAAAATGGTGCAGACGCCATACACTCATTAGAAGCTTGGGACTGCTTCGCTTTACAGTGGAGCATGGTTATTGGAAGCTTGTAACACTTACAGCGGCTACAATGTTGCCGCCTCGGTGGCTCCGAGGCGAGAGTGCCGGCCTATGGATCCCCATGTGGCGGGTTCGAATTCCGGCCGAGGTGCCCACAATCTGACGGAGGCTTATTGCAAAGAAGGCGCCGTGTAACCGAGCTTTCACTTGCATGTCAAAAGATCCCCAGGCGGTCGAAATTAATCCTCAGTTCTCCGCTGGGGCGTACCAGATGCCTGTCGTTGGTTTTGCACTTAAAACCCCCAAATTCGACTTTCTGATTTGGCTACAGTGTTGAACGGGATTGTGCAGTAAACAATACCACCGTCTCTTTATAAATTCTTGTTTTAGCGCCTCATGGTGTAGCTGTTCCGCAATGTACATTGCAGCACTAAGCCTGGCTATCAGGAGTACCTGCGGTGGCGACAACACTGGGGGCGCAATGCCCGGGTGGAGGCTTCCCTGCGCTACTTCATGGGGGACCAGATCTTGCCCTTCTGGGCGCAGTGCACGCGCTGCCACAAGTGGAGGCGCCTCCCAAAGGGCGACGACCTCACGCCGGAGGTCGTCGAGACCTTCACATGCAGCGACATACCTACCTACGACGACTCTGTGAGTTTCCTGTCCCCAGCTGGCGTTTATCTTCTTTTCAAGTGCAAGGTGCACAAAATATTGCTGAAAGGCATTCTGAATGTCAATTGATGTTTGTACAATGTGTGCATCTATGCTTTTATCAAGTTGAATAAACTTATTCCACGCGATGTGCTAAGACGTTGACCAAAGTCCTTTCTTGATCACAGATGTGGTCAACAATTTGTTCTGCCGTATGTTTCAAATCTGGTTAGGTAATAATTTCGATTAGAGATTGTAAAGTGGGGGAAGGGGAGGGGGTACATATATGTGCCAGCATTTATTTTTAACTAATTGACATCAAGAAGTCATACTTTAGGGCGGTGCATGTTATATCCCATCTTTATCAAAGCAGACACTCTACATACTGTCATCACATATCTGACTTTTTTGTTTTCTTATTTTGTCACACAGGAATCCAAAATCGAGGACTGCGACATACCTGAGGATCCCGTAAGTTGTGCCTCGATCGTTTTCAGCGCGGGGGAAATGAAGCATAAGAGCTGGTGACTGAGCTATACCTTCCTCATTCCAGCACTAGGCGAAGCCCTTGCCACAATACGTAGGATGTAACAGAGATATCTTTTCTCTCTTTTGTTATCTGAGACGCACTCTTACGCCATGCATTGTGTCCTACCCCTTTTGTCACCCTCGGTACCAAACGTCGAATTGTTCTCGTTATGCCAGGACGCCTCGGCCGCCATGCAACCGCTGTGGATCTGTACCTTGACCCAGCCGCCGTTCCTCATCTACTCGCCTGCCCAGCAGTTTCTGACGGACTATTACGCCGATGGAGTTGGGATCAGTCCGTCATTCATCAGTGCAGATGGTGCGTTTAGAACTGTGGCATCAGGACAGCAACCTTTTGATTGCCGTCTTGAAGCTGTAGTGTTTGTCCTCTGTTTCGAGTTGGTTGCATTGTAGCTTTACCCTTTGCTTGGTGTTACGGCTCGTGTGTTGTATCGCTGGAAGGTCTGTCATTACTCTTATGTGGAGCACAAGTTTGTCTGCTTTTTTGGCAGGGGTTGTGGGGACAGCAGAATTCCAAGCTCTGATTGGCACTGATTGAAGGATAGTGGATAGACCTCAAGGCAGCTTCCTTTGAGAAGCAGACGAACTTGTGCTCCGCATTTATCCGAAACATGTCTTACTGGAAGAACTTTCCTCCGTAGTAGACAGTGAGAGTACCGACATTTTGCTACATATGCACATTCATGGACAAAGGAAACTAGAATGTGCAGATGTGTTTGTTTCCCTCGTTGACATTGTGTTGATTTGGTTACCCAAGGAATTGTTTTAGCCAGTGGCGTTGCAACAGGGGGGGGCCAGGGGGCCCCAAGTACCAGGCGTCCCAGTCACGTAGGGGGGTGGCACCTCTCGCAGCACCCGGCACATCCCCTTTTCGTTTTAGTCGTTGGTTGCGTTCTTGGGAAGTGAAGGTGGAGGGGGGGGGGGGGTACAAAAGACATAAGGGCCCCGGGTGCCAGATGTTCATGCTACGCCACTGGTTTTAGCCGTTTAAGACTTCTGTGACTTTCTCTGAGGTGGAAATATAATCAATTATGAAAATATTACTTATGGTGTTGCATTGCTGAGTTGAAGCCACAATCGAGCATTTTTACTCTACACATAGCATACATGAACGAATGCTCATCTCATGCAGTAGAACATTGGAACTTGCTAGTCAAGATTGATTGATATCGCTCCTTATTGTTTATGTTTTTTTCAACAATTTATGAGATGAATCAATTGCTCCACCATTTAGCACCAGAGAAAATGGCAGCAAGACTGAGAAACGGACGCGAGACGAATGGTGATGACTGCTACATTAAACCAGGTATTTTTCATCTTCAATCTTTTCCCACTGATCTGTCTGTCTTATCACTGACATATAATGCTTACAGTATGGTAATGGATGTTCCTGTTCATAGATACATCCGGCAAAATTGAGTTGCCAGATGTATCTATGAACAGAGTTACAAAAGTCGGGAGTGATTGACCAAACTCCCGAGCTTCTGTATGGTTTTGTGGTCAGTATGGACCTAGAAGTAGCACCAAATTAAATTAGACCTTGTTCACCATCACGCAGTTCATGTCCTCCAAGGGAATGTCAGTGAAGTGAACTAGGCTTAGAGTAAAAAGTAGTGTGTGCATTTGGACGGAGATTAGAATACATTTTTTTATGCTGCAAAACACATTACTGTGTGTGACATTAACTTGAGCTTGGAGCCCGAGAAAGGAAATCTGATATGATAGAAAAAGAAAAAAGAAAGGGGAACAGACAATGCTTCTTTCTTCGGTACTTTAGATTTTCTTTTTCGTGCCCCAGTCTTGAGTTAGTGTAAATTTACATTGGCTCACCTGCGCACTAACTGTATTCACATTACAGTGCTTGTCGGTAATGTTTCTGCATAAAAACAGTTGCATCTTTTATGCCGTAATTTGCTACGCTGTTGGCGCTTCAAGTCTTGCGAGCTGCAGAATACACGCAAATTAATTGGTATGTTGTGGTATCGCTCTGATTGGCTGTCATGGATTGCTGTTCCTTGGTAGCGTGAAGTCACTCTTGTTGATGTACAGAGCAAGACACAATTAGTATAAAAAAGTGATTGCCGGTTTGCCTTAAAAAATTTTGGCTGCGACTATTTCGACGTTCACCGTCAAAATATCTAAAATATTATTTCGACATCTGTGACGTCACTTCCGTAAAACGTCAAGGTAATGGCTTTATTATATATTTACGTCCTCCGTCAATGCAATCGTCACAATGGTAGCCGTTTTGTGGTTTCATTGTTTAGTTTCTGATGGTTTTGTCGGTGTTCTGTTGACGGAGTGTTGCGTGCCTAAGAGGTTTCGGTCCTAGTTGGCAGTGCAAATAAATGTCTTACTAAGCGTGTGTGTGGCACTGGCTCAACAGCTGATTTTTCCGGCCATGACATGCCTGGCGGCAATGTTCTGAGCTTTCACACATCATTTGGCACACGTCTCGCATAAAATTTTGAATCTGTAACGAAGGCGAGCTGGATATGTCTTGCCTGCACGTAACAGATGTGAGCGCGTACGCTACGTGACACTGAGAAATTTGGCACGCTTTTTGTGCCTCCATATCGGCAAGGCCACGCTGGGTCATTATCTACTACCCTCGATATCTCGACCTAGAATGCCCGAGCGTCAAGCATTTGGGGTAAGTATAAATGCAACTCTTCTAGAAGTATAGAATAGCTTTCCGGTCATTCACGCGGCACTATATGGTGTTTGTCATTACGCCGCGCGTGTGTTAAAATTTGAAAATTCGCTGATGTCACGTACACGCCTACAGTGTCACACTGCGTGTGTCTGAAACCCTGGTGTGTGCCGTTGGGCGTCTTTCAGACCAGCTGTCTCGCCTGCTGCAGCCCTTCTACCGGCCCGGGGAACAGGGCAAGGCCCTCTGCTTCCATCCGGACATCATGGAGACCTACGAGATGGACGCTTTCCCGGAGTACGCTCGAGAGCAGGTGACGTGTTTGTGCATACGCGTGGACTAGGCACTCGCCTTTACGAGCTTGGCCACGAGATGCCAGACCAGTTGCCACCGCAAACCATGGGGACGTGCCCCAAAGCGACAGCGGGGTGCGTCGTTTTCGCACGAGTGAACCCTGAAATGTGGTAGAATGGCTCCTTTCTTATCTTCGAGATCCCTCGTCGATTCTGAGGCCCCGTATATTGTGTGTGTCCCCTCTGGGTGAAGTTTACATCATGTAGTCATGAAAAGGGTCGGTGTGAAGTTACCTGATTGTTTCCACAAAGCGTGTCCAGAAAGTATCCTGAAACACTCGAGTTAGAGAGCCTATGGTCTAAGTCAGGAGACGATGGAGGACCCCATTTGTGGTGAAGGGAGGAGAAAGGTACAGGTTAAATATAATAATGATTTAATAAATAAACATAACTAAGGGCCAGTGTGAAGTAGACTTCTTTTATTGACATACTCACGAGAAAACTCGCTCGAAAACTGAAACATTTCTTCTCAATCTGAAAAACGACAACTTTTATTGCCAGGCTTCACTGATGAGGCAGGGCTTCGCAGACCTCCTTTTGAGAACCATTGGTCTAGTGAACGTTTGTCCAGCAGGCTTGTCTGGATTTCCTCTTATCTCCTTCGATCCTTTTACAAGCCTGTGTACACTTTTTAGGTACCTCCAGATTTATTCGGGCTATCCAGGCCCCTTCAAGCTGCGTGAAGCTTTTATCTGTGTCAGGTGTTTCCTTCACGCCTGTTTGTTTGCCTTTCTGGGTCTCTTCGGCTCGGACATCTGGGAGCTTTCTGGATTCTGCCCCTCACGGTTTCCCGCCGCCGTGCAGGTGATGTATCTGGGGGTGCGTAACGTGATCCTCTCGCTCTGGGCGCTGGACCCTTCCCGCTGGCTCTCCCTGGAGACGGTGTCCCGCCACCTGATCTGCCGGGGCCTGGCACGCATCCGCTGCATCGTGGAAGCCAGGCGCATCTTGCGCTTCTTCACGGCAAGGGGTCTCATCAACCACGGCGCGCTGGTGCCCCCTGGAGGCTGTCTCTTGCCCCCAGCGTGTCTTCAGGTGAGGACACGGCCGAGTCCAGTTGATGAAGGTTCTCTAAAACAAAACTGTAACCTTAAAAAAAAAAAAAAAAAAAAAAAAAAAAAAACTATTTTTTTTTATTGAGAAGTTACAAACAACATAGCACATTGTAAGTACTGCACTTGGGAAGTGCAAATTTATGTATAACCGGTGACAGGTCAAGAACGAAGTGGAAGCTCCTCCCATCCCTTTCCACTTCAGTGGAGCGAACAGTGGAGAGGAGGTTGCCTCCTCTCCAGCGTTTTCTCTACTAAAGTGGAAAGGGGTGAGAGGAGCTTCCACTTCGTTCTTGACCTGTCACCGACTGTAGTTACATCGATTCAAAGTTTCATATCCAGGCTGTTTGCAAGCATGTTTTGCTAAGCTTTTCCTCTTTTCTGAGAATTCATTTTTTCCTCATGGCACAAAGTTTTGACCACGGTATCTTTTGATCTAAAATTTACATCTGATACCTCATAGTAAATCGGAGTGTGCGGCGAGACTAATATTTTCGCAAAATGTTAGCTGCGATATTTTAATTTGCAAAAGCTTTGAAAACTAATTTCCGGTTATCCTTAAAAAAGAAATTTCAGCTTGTAAAAACTTTTTTTTTTTTGAAGATGCTAAGATTATAAGAATGGTTTTGTTTCACTCTCTGCTGCTTGTAAGTCATGCTGACATACTTTGTGCCATGTTTTTTTACGTGGGCATCGCAACAGAGTTGGACAGAAATATTTGTGACAAAGCTGAGGCTTTCTCGAAAACTGTAATAGATAGGAAAACAATGAGCTTATGATTGTGCTTCGTATAAAACCTTAAAGTAGAGGTGAACATTTAAGCATAAAATAGATCAGAAATGACCAAAAAGTTTTCAAGACTAGGGTTCCCCCTTCAAAGTGTGGCACTTATATGGCTTTAGTTTCCGTGAATGTAGCCTCGATAGAGCATGCAGCACAGAGCATGCAACTGACGACTGCTCTCGGAGTTGGGACTTTCCTCAGTGCACGCTCGACAACAGCAAAGTGGACAACGCATATATGAAGGCTTTTACTTGCGGGCTTTGTGCACGTCCAAAATGGCGCAGTAGTGACAATGCTCAGCGCAGCAAGGTGAAAAGGGAAAAGAGATGGGCAAGGCTGCAGAACAGGAGCGCCAGGCGACAGGAAGCCAGTTGCCTTTACACAGTGGTCGACTGGCAGTTGAAGCGTCAGTTCGCAAACAATGCGTTTGTTGCACTATGTGTGTGTGGACAGATTGCAGTGATTTCGGACGGACTGTGCAGAGGCGTTCTAAATGCTTAGCATCTAGATTGCCAACTTCCCCCCCCCCCCCCCCCCCCTTCCCCCAAGGTCAACCTTTTAAAAATTCGACATACACCAGCTTTTTTGGGGCAGAGATTATTAGTTTTTGGTGATATAACAAATACGTGGTCAATGAAACAGGTCTGGGCCACGTTTTACCCATGGTGTCATCTCTGTCGCACTTCATGCAACGTCTGAGGCAGGCAATGTTTTAGTCACAACAAATCCTAAACGCCTTCCGTTCCCGCAGAAGAATGTGCTCGTGGTGGGGGCAGGCCCGGCGGGACTGGCGGCTGCGCGCCACCTGCACAACCTGGGCGTCAGGGTGACGGTGCTTGAAGCCAGCCACCAGGTCGGGGGCCGGGTGCGCGACGACACCTCCCTCGGGGTCTGCCTGGGCATGGGAGCCCACATCGTGACCGGGGTCACCAACAGGTCAGCGTTTGGTGTTCTTGCTCGAGTCCTCAAACCTTTCTATCAAGAGAAACAGCCAATATATGGAAATATGTACAGTGACTAGTTGCGGATCCTTTCAAATGAAGTGCAATACAAATAGACAATTCAGTATATGCACAAAATATACAAAATAAAACACCAAAATGTTTTAAAGGTCTATAAATTTTATATACAATCGCCGACCGATTTTACGCACTTTGATAATTCAGGCTTGTTCGATATTTCGGACCTGAAGAAGGAACCGTGACCTACCCGATAGAAATAGTGCATATTCACGACCAATGTTTCGGACAGTTAGATTTTTCGGACAATATTGCCATGAGCGATCAGCAGAAAACACTACCGCAAAGCGGCCCTTTTGAATTCTATGTTTGCTGCACATGGATTGGCTTGGTTTGGCAGGCATAATTGAGTACTGCTAGGTCGCACCGCTAAGTGACGCTGTACGTGGTTTTTTTTTTCTAGCTGCGTGTCATTATTATCATTATTGTTACCAATTTGCTTTGTTAATTCGCCATTGCATTCGTGGACTTGCACCTTATCTCGACATCGTTTTGGTGAATTGTGTTTTTGGACTATGCTTGCTTGGACATCATTGCCCATCTGTTCTTCCACCACCACGATGTGTCCCTAAGAAGCTCAGAAAGTACTCGACCTTTACGCTAGAAAAGAAGGCAGCGATTCTCAAGTTAATAGAAAGTTGCCGAACGCAAACGGGTGCATAACCTGAAACAAGGCGCGTAGGTGTAACCTGAAGCGAGGCACTGTTTATGGCCTTTTTAATGCAAAAGCAATAACTGTATCATGGAGCGAGCTGACGTAATCAGTCTGAAGCGCGAAAACGGCAGATAGTTTCCTTCAGTTCCATTGCCTGGTGCGCATCGACGGGACTCCCATTGGCCGCTGCGCTCGTCAGTTTCCACGACCGTTTACCCCATGGCGTTGCGTGTCCATCAGTGTGCCGTTGCTCCCCTGCGCATGAAGTGTCCAAGGTCACCGTGCCCAGGGGAGCACACGTGCTAACCGGCGACGAAAAGTACGCAGCAGACGAGAAAGGGAGCGGGCGAGCGACCTGCATGCTTTCGCAGTCACAACTCATAAGGAATGCTTAGGCCTACCTCAATCTTTTTAAGTCCGCTTAGACGTAATGAAGGCAGGTTTTTTACTCTGCTGATTTTTCGGACTGCTGTATTATTCCGACGTTTATTCGATCCCTGCGAAGTCCGAAAAATCTGTCAGCAACTGTACTCGATATATTGTCTGCGAACATAATCCGCACACATATTGATCTACAAACGTTAATATTATCTAATAATACAGTCTGCACACCTTCCTAAAAAATAGATATTATGCAACCCAAACACGCAAGACACCATTCTAGTTTAACAATTCTACAAGTAAATATCCACTTTCCAAAAATTCAACTACATCTAGAAAACTTTTTCCCATTTTAAGTTGGCCGATGTAAGAAAAAAAAAAAAAAAGAAACTCTTAAGGGCGGTAACTTTATCATGAAAATGAAAAATAGGGACGGGAATCTCCTTCTATATTTTCACACCTTAGGGCTTTTAAGCGCTATGGGACATAGTCATTATGAGATATTGGTTATAAAAGAGTATGAAAAAAAAGTGGACAGCCGACCTTCTGACTGTCAGCCAAACGCATGACGCATGCTCATCTTCTCCCTGATTGGACACCAGTGCTAGCCGAATCTCGTCCTCGAGTGCGTCCGTGTAATTTCAAAAAACAAAAACAAGAAGAAGAAAAAAAGTCACATGTTCAGACATACAGTGGTGCTCTTCTCCTTGGAACGAGTGCACTCCGGGCTTCCCCCAAAGGAAGAGTGCAAGAGAGCGTTTCTAAAAAGAAAGCAGACGCTCACTTCGTCCCAAGCGTTTGATTCTCTTCCGTTGCGGGCTGCCACCAGGGCTCCGCTCAGCACTGCCGCATTCCAATTGTTTCGTTTTCCGCACGCTTCGTCTACTGCATCTCACACTCCGAGAAAGTCACATTTACACTGCGACCGCAGAGGATGGCGCCCGCAAGTAACACATCTACGGAGCGCTCGTGCGCTTAGCTAGCACGACACTGGACTGCTTTATGCCATCCAGTCCCCACATGTCACCACAGTTTTCCCAAGCTAACGCATGACATTCCGTGTTGCCACTGCATTTGCCACGTTAGTACGACAAAAAGGCGACTTTTCACCTTGCGGAAACACCTTGTCCCTTAATTAAAAGTGAACTCCGGCAATTTTTTCGCCTACACCAACTAACTATATTGTAAAATCGCCGGCCTTTATCCTTTCCGGTAAGCTATTTAGTATCGCAAAATTCAGAATAGTTATTGTCAAATCGGCAAGTGAAAACAATGCCAAAACCAACATTCAAATATACCCGCGCTTTTCAGTGGCGTGATGTCAGGGAAGGCAGGCTTGCGGGTCAAGCGGGCAGTCTGAAAATGGACTATGCCAACCCTTTGTTTCGTGCTGCCGCAGGGGCGCTGGAGCTAGCTTCCAAAGCGTTAATTTGACACCATGAAACTGCTTGTAATAAGTCGGGAACAAAGTACAGTCCAAAGAGTGAACCCCTGCCTTTCCCTGCTGGCACTTTTTTTATTGTTGCTATTAGAGACTTTCACTTTAAAAAACACGGTGAGGACCAAAACTGTAAATTCAATAACTCTGTGAAAAAGAAATAATTTTAGCCCAATGTTTGGGTTACGATTTCAACAGTGTTCGTTGGTGCTTTTAGCAAATTTTCAAGCAAATCGGAGATAGTAAAAGATGCTAGGGTATTCATTTAACTGAAAAGACGAGGAAAGGAGCAATTCTTGGCGATAGTTACACTGAGTGGTTCATTTGTGACAGCCCCACGTGAAGTAAGTTACTGCTGTAACAAAGGCAACATTCCCAGGGTACACATAGCTTTGCACAAAATTGGGTTCCAACTGCAAAACAAGAAACACTGGCTGCGTCATTCGATGCAAACAATAAAGCCATGACCTCTCCGCTAGCTCTGTTCAATATTTTGCAAGTTGATGTTGTACAACTTTCCTTGGATGGTGACGTTTCTTTTTTTTCGGTGTCGATGCAGTCCGCTAACCACGCTGTGCATCCAGACCGGTCGTCCGATGCGCCTGATCCGCGACCACTGCGACCTCTACACGACCAAGGGACACATGGTGGCTTCCGACAGGGATCATCGCGTCGAATTCCACTTCAATGCCATGCTTGATGCAGTCGCACAGTGGCGGCTCGGCCAGACGAAGGACGCTTGCCTCTACGGTGCGTGTTTTTCTTTGATTTCTTCTCTTTTTAGATAAAACCCTTCTACAGTAGAGTTGCTTTACAAGGTAGAACGAGCCTGTGACCGTGATCAACATTTTCAAATGGCTCTATCATCAGTAAATGCTTTCTCTGAGTTTAGTGCAGAAATGATCTGTTCGTTAACAAGGATGCAGACAGCCAGTACACTTAAGGGGGGACATTACCCAGAAAAGAAATTTCTGCAAAAAAAGTTGATTTTGAAATAAAATCACGAGCCATTCCACTCTGAAGGTGGATGACACATGACACAGACACACCCCAAGGAGCGAAAGGAAACTAGACACGCGCGACGGGACCACCACCCCGGGAGAGCTGAAGGAAAGGAAACTAGGCATGCAAGCGCTTGGAACGACGACAGAGAGAGGGCGGTGCGAGCGCAGACATGTCCGACGTATTCGCATTGCGGCAAATCTTTGAGAAACTTTTATTATCTACCTGAGAGTCTACTGATCTTGAAAATGGTGCCTGTTGATAACTAATCTACTGAATAGATCTATTGCTCAATTACCCAAGCACCAAGGAAAATGCAGGGAATGGTGTTCCACGCGCCACTTGTGCCGGCGTCTGCAGCAGTAACTGTTCTAAAGCAAAAGCCTAAAACGAATGGCATCTTGCACGTGCGTTCTCCAACGATTTGTTTTGGTTATTTACTTCGAATCTTTTATACGGGGAAGGTGTGCACGTGTGGCACGTGCTGCTGTGCGTGCGTAGAGTTTTTAGTCACCGCGCATGAAAAATCCACTGAACCCAGCCATAAACACCTTCGCTGTTTATGGCTAGGGTTTCGTGGATTTTTCGTGTGCAGTGACTAAACGGCACTAACATCTAAAGAGTATTCTCAGAAAGTTTACTTTGTTTACACTGCATAGTTATTTTTTTTATAAATTATTGTTATTTCAGCGATGCTAAAGAAAACTTTGAATGTGTTTGTTCCGTTCCACTTTTTGACATAAATTTCACTTTAATAAAACTATGGTTTCGGTATGAAACTATAGAGGGTCCTAATATTTGCGGCTTATCGTATTTACTCGAGTAATAGCCGCACTGTTTACGAAGAAAACCTGAGGGTTCGCTTTTCCGCAAAGCACGCGGATCACCGATCACTGCGATCGACAGCATGATTGTAGCGGTTTACGGGACAGAGACAACGTCTTGCCACGAAGATACCATCTGTGAAGATTGCATTTGTATGGAGAATCGGGATCTTGATCCGGTTATTAGCTATGTTATTTATGCGCAGTGTAATGATTGGCTGTATATGTGTTCTGCGGGAAAGCAGACGCAAGGGCCTTGTTCATAAATAGTGTGGCTATTACTCGGGTAAATACGGTGTATGCCGAAATTTTATGGAGCCGGTTACTATCAACTTAGATTTTTCGTTTTCATGTTCCTTTATTACGAAAAATTTTAATTTTTTCGTAATAAAGGACTACTTGAGCGGCTTCAGCGCCCATAAACAAACCGAATGGTTTGTTTACGGGCGACGGCAGGCTTCTTGCCCACCATCCACCGCGCATGCGCGGCGCTGGTGGCGTCTGCTAGGGGCGCTCCGGTTTGTTTGTAAACATGAGTTAGTGTATAGACCTTTCTGAAAAAGGGCTCATGGCCGATTCCATTTTCAGTGTTTGTGCGTATGCGCGTGCTGGGCTGAGGAGATTGCATGCTGGGCTGAGGACATGTAAATGTTGGAATGGTGTATATAAGTGCAGAACAATCGCTTGACATACGGCGCACGCAACTTCGTTGCCGCCATCGTCGTAGTCTACTTCACACGCCGGAGAAGCGGAGAGAAAACGTGGTTGGGGGGTGTAGCCACGTGATTTCTGGCAACTCTCTCCTCTTCTACATTTCTTCCTCCTCCTCGGTACACATCGTCCTGATGTTGTGACCATGGACTTCCGTGCTTATGTTTCGGTTTAGAGCAATTGAGTTTCTTTTTTACATCATGAAAAATATGTGACTCTAGCAAAATATTGAGTGGGTAGTCTTTTGATGCCATATTAAATCGCCTAGCAAAAAAAAAAAAAAAAAAAACGACATTGGGGGCGTGTTAGTGCTCCTTTAACAATAGAGATTCTAGAAGCACATTTTCAGTGGGTCTCAATATTTTATATATTTGGGCTAGTGTCGTTCCACTGCCCGGGTTGGTGCTACGCAAATAAATGCACATTCCACCACACTAAAAGTTCCACTAGCAGCATCTGAGTTGTGATAGAAAGAAAGAGAAATCTGGGGATCAAAGATTCGTCTTATTTGTGTCACAGTCTGTACATACTCGCGTTCAAAATACTAGTGTAGCAAGAAAGATGTGACTGTATAGTAAAATTACATATAATATGCTTGTATTTATTAAGCTTGTAATGCAGGCATGGTTATTTGAAATCCTGATATATTGTAAACCAGGGTTGTAGCCACTGAACTTTGCTACAGATATAGTAGCAAATAAGTTGAATAGCCAGAGATATGATAACCATTGTCATCTCTGCTGTGTGCAGATAAGCTGACAGAGATGCACGAAAGATTCCTGGAGGAGACCCACCTGACATTCACTGAGGTGCGTATGCGTCTGGTTCTCCTCTTTTCCTGGTCATCTTCGTTGGGGGTTTGTAAGTTTCACAGGTCCAATAGACCCTTTCCGAAATTCAGTGCCATCTGGTGGCTGAAATGGCGGTTTAACTTTTGCCGTGCTAATGGCGGCAATGAACCTGTAGCCTGCAGTATTTTTTCGGGCACCGTCACTTTTGCAAGTCAGTAGATAACGAGTATGTGCTCTTCACTGTACAGTTTTTTCTCGTTGCTCTCTTTCAATGTCAATGGCCACAAAAATACAACCAGTCAGAACGAAGCGCCAACCCAGATAGACGCCTTGATGAAGTTCTATACATCAAGGGGCTTTAAAGTTGATTCTGAACTACTAACAGATTGACTGGGCCTGAGTTATAGAAATGAACGCTTACGCAGCTCTTCCATTCAATTCCTTCTTCCCAACGTGCTAACGTCTCGAATGTATAGGCATCGAATCCTCAGCTTAGAAGTATCTTCGACGTGTTCCTTCACCAGTAAACAGAAGGCCACCATTAGTACGGCACATATGCCATTTTTCAAATGATGGTGATAGTGATCGAAGTGGCCAGACTAAATTTCAGAAAGGGTCTATTGCAAACTGATCTTTGGACTACTGTGGATATTTCATTTCTATACTTTGTCCTCTGTTCTTTTTATACTTGGGACGTCCAATTGGCATAAAAATGAATTGGGCATGTCCATTAAAACTTGTCCTTTTGTTTATGATTCAATGTTAGTGTGATGTAAAATGTGTTGTTCTCAAGTACTACTGATTTCAAACTAATTATCTTTTTAGTTACCTGGACTAGATCCAGAGACATTCGTATATCATTTAAAAAATTCTTACCATTTGTTACGGGACTTCAGAGCAAAATTGCAGCGTCATAAAACCCAAGTTTCATAATGCTGCGCTCTCTACAACAGTGATGGATACAGTGAAGGATGCTTGTAGCTTCTACAGTAATGACGGATTTAAGATGCAGATCTAGTGAAGCAAACGTGAAATATGCCTGTAGAACTGACACAGGCATGCAAGTATATTAGGGAAGACACAAGTACTGCAAAGCAAAAGGAGTAGAGAGCTTTTTGTTTGTTTCGCTCGTCTTCGTGCTTTTGTGCACAGTTTTGGTACCGTTGGCTCTTCCAAGGCGGTTTAAAGGCTTTGATATGAATCTCGGTACAGTAAACTTTCGTTAGTTCGACCTCGGTTAATTCGACTTTTTGTTTAATTCGATCGTGTTCAAAAGTCCCGGCGAGCACCCATACATTTCTATGAGAGGAAAAGTTTGATAGTTCGAACTCAGGAAGACTCCGCATCAGATAATTCGTCCTGAGCGAATGCGCACGGGCTCACATTGCACGGCACCACGGCAGAAAAACCACCAACGAATTGCGAAACACGGGCCCTTTGCTGCAAAGCCGAACATGCGCAAATATGCACCTGCTGCTCTACGCCGTTGAGATGGACCGTAGCGAATTACACGAGCCAGCGCAACCAATCTGGCGTGGTGTAGCACGGAGAACACAGCACGTGGTCAGGCGTGGAGACAGCGCGCACTCTCAAAGCGCTTTTCTGTAGCATCGTGTGCGGTTCATCTTGCTCGTCAGAAAGCGCGGGTTGTCTTTTCCTCTTTTTTTTTTGTTATTTTTCTCTGTCGTAAAACTTGCTTACTTTTTGGGTTTCTTTTTTTTTTTAGTGTGCTATTTTTTTTGGGGGACGTGACGCGTAGTTACATTACTTTCCGGAGCATGCTTTTGGACATGCATTTAGAGCGCAGACGGCAGCAGACCATCCGTGAGTACTTTGGAGAATAAAATGAAGTTTCGTTTTAGCTGTTTTTCTGTCTTTTTAATTCAATCATTCGGATAATTTGACCAAATTTCAAGGTCCTGTCGAGCTCGAATTAACGAAAGTTTACTGTGTACCGACGCCCGTCTACGTTCTCCGCTTTCACGAGAAGCGACTGCGTCCGCTCGTCCGCAAGGGGAAAGTGGGGAAACCCGTTCCCGACCGCCGACGCAGGAGGAGAACAACGTGCTCCAGTTCCACCTGGGGAACCTGGAGTACGCCTGCGGGGCACACCTGCGGGAGGTGTCGGCCCTGCAGTGGGACCAGAACGAGCGGTTCCCCCAGTTCAGCGGCCAGCACGGCTTGGTGCCCGACGGCTTCCTGGCGCTGCTCCAGTCGCTCGTGCAGGGGCTCGACGTCCGCCTCGGGCAGCAGGTGCACTTTTCGGCATTTATTCCCTAGTTACTAACAAAATGTCAGGAGTTGTTACAAGTGTAACATAAAACAAGAAAAAATATAATTGCCCCAATGCTTAGAAGCAAATGTCCAGGGTGGTCAGAGAGGAATGCAGAGCGCAGGTCCGTCTGCTCCTTGGGCAGGGGTCGCGGTGACATCGGAACGACGCCGAGCTCCGATTGGCTTTGATTGAACAGATAGTGTGTAGACTTCAATGCTAGATGCCTCGAGGTCTACCCACTATTTTTTTCGATCGGCCAATGAGGTCTCTGCGTATAGACTTTGTCGCAACCCCCTACAAGAAGCAGATGAACTTGCGCCTCGCATAGTCCGTGACGACGCGTGGCTGCCGGCACGTTTGTCGTCCCGTACCCCCATACTTTGAAAGTGGTCCCGAAGTGTCAACGAGTGACTTCACCAGAGCCGAAGTGCCATGACGCCAGACGTTGCGATTTTGGCAATCGGTCATAGAACTGCTGGCAAAAAAAGATGAGCAAATTTGAGGCTAGCGGCTTGTTTCCTCACCGCTGCCAGGACCTTTCTCAAACACTGTCCGTTCTTTTTTGCATTTTCCCCGTACCCCGCATTAAAAGAAAGACCCCAAAGTCAACCAGCAAATACAAAAAGAAATGTAGAAAAAAAATACAAAAAAACAACTTTAGCTTTTTATTGTTTCCTTTGGGTGGGCATGGATGTATGTACTACGTAATGGGGAAGAGAGTGTGTGTGTGTGTGTGTGTGTGGGGGGGGGGGGGGGGGGCTGTTTTTAGATACACAGACTGTGTCTTTTCTAACCGCGGGATTAGAATCGAAGGCTCTTATCCCGCGGTTAATCTGTCCTGCTTAAGACACCTTTTCATAGTCAAGAACCTTGAATTGCGTGTCCAGTTTCAAATGTCGTTCACGCCGTCAAACGGCAGCTTTATCTCAGAATAAGCCTGATTTGAGGTCTACCCCTTCTTTGCGAATACTAACTGATTTTCCGATATCTTTTGTTGTTTTGTTTCTGTGCCAGAGTTTGTTAGCAAGTTACTAAATTATTCGGGAAAAGTAGTTAAACTACAGTAAATTGAGAAGAGTACCGTAGCATCCCGAGGGACAGCCCACCTAAAAGTGAAAGCCAGTCGGGTGACAATATGGAGTTGGCTTACTTTCTGTGTGTGATCAAAGAAACTAAAAAGATGCTAGTTTTAGATTTTGTGATCTCCGAAACTTGCAATTGCAGGGAGGGGCGATGAACCAAAGACGACTCCTTCCCCGTCAGCAATGTTCGCTTATCTCCCGTCGTGGCTAAGTAACACCATTTCTGCCAAGGTCGCTACTGGCCAGGGCCCTGCAATTGCTAGAAGTGGGCTATCTTTTGGTGTTTCTGAAAAATAGCAAATACCGCCAAAATTACGCGCGGGTTAGCTTTCGGGGTCGGGATATTACAGTTGAATTCCAAGCAAGACTGCATCAATGTTATTGGAGCTATTAACATTGGGTGTCAAGTCGCAGCCTGCACTTGAACTTGCTTACGGCTGCAGGTGACTCACGTGGAGTACAGCGAAGATGACGAGAAGGTGAAGGTGTTCACCCACGGTGAGGGGAAGTTCACGGCCGACTTTGTGCTGCTCACCCTCCCGCTGGCACTGATGCAAGCGGGGGAAGTCACCTTCACGCCCCCGCTGCCTGACCGCAAGCACAGGGCACTAGAGCAGCTTGGCGCTGGCGTCATCGAAAAGGTAAAGAGAACACAATCCGTGCTCATACGACCAAAATAGAACTTTAATGTTGTGTTAATTGAAGCTACTCGTATTTTGTTTTCCCAAAGTCCTACTCTGCTCGGTAGCGGAACTATAAAAAGGGAAAGATGATGTAATTGGCTTCGTCATTCAAAATTTGTAGTACCGGGCGTCTGTGAGAAAAGAGCTCTCTGTTTTTTCCACTGTAGAAATAAACTATGTGCCACCGAACGCTAAGGTTCCAGAACTTGCAGCTAACCAGTCTGAAACCTTTGAAGAGAAAATTGCAGTCAACGATGCCCACAAATAGGTGGAGAGTGTATGCCACCGAAAATGGGCACCAGTTGCTCCTCGAAGCTCTTCGTAAATTGCTTGTTATGTACATGTAAATAAGGTAACGTTAAGTTCCGAAACTTCGGCATCTGGTCTGGACCGCTGGCGTTGCATTCAGGGAAGGACCAAGCATTCGAGAATACACGGTTTATTTTCGCCATGAAAACAATGTGGTTCTCATTTCTCGCAAACATTTGGCATGTCAGGAATGGTATGCTAGTAGGACTTCCCCTTTCTGGGAGTGTGTGGCAGGCTTGCCACGGTTTACGCATAATAAGTGCGTTTGTTTGCAGGTGGCCCTCCAGTTTCCGAAGGCGTTTTGGGCCGACCGCGTGACCGAGGCAGACTTCTTTGGGCACGTGCCAGTGTCTGCAGAGCGGAGGGGTCTCTTCAGCGTCTTCTTTGATCTCAGTCCCAGGGTGCAGACCAAGAAGGTAAATGTGATCTCCGGCGAAGTTGTCAAGTCCTTCCTGCGTTACTCTCAGCTCTGTAATGTTCGAGGCTCGCTGGCTCACGTGTGTACTAGTTCTGCTTTCGTCACAATGTCGCTAGGACAAGATTGTTGAGGCTGGTCCGTGTTCTCTGTACAATAGGCCCTTTTAGCAATGCTGCGCCATCAAGTAGCGCCGATTCCAAACTATGCGCACTCGCCGGGAGTGGTCACCTGTGCTGCTCCGGCGGGGCCGCAGCCGCCATTATAGGGTATACGGTCGCAGAGGCCAGTACTCTGTAGTGCCCACATACTGCCTTTCCATATGCGTTTTTACTGCTGTGCGGCACCGTGCAAGCAGAAAGGCGCAAGGATAACCTCCCGAACAAGACAAGGTTTACTGTTTTGCTGCGAAAATACAGCTGTCAACAAAACAATGCATCAGTATAAACCACAATTCGTTAAATGCGTGCTCCCTACGCTCAAAATGAATTAAGTCAGGAAATGCGCGCGTGCACGAGAATTCATTGTCACAGCGTGCGCAGTAAAAAGAACTATCATAAGAGCACACGCACGTAGCTCTCTCCGAGGATACTTTATTCGGGCTTTGCGTGTGAGCTATTCTTAAATTCAAATACTGTCTTCTTCCAGGTGTCCCATTGCTTTCCTTCCCGAGCGATCAGTTTTTTGAAGCAACCGAGAAATCGTTATAAAACGTCAAGGAGCAAAACATAATAACACGAAATATACAAGGCTTTATTGGCTGAAGCAGTTTAGTCAGGCTGGCTACCTTTCGAACGTTGAGGTAGTCAGCGCTTCTTGAGGCAACAAGTTGTTACAAGTACACTGTAAACTACTCAATTTTCGCGAGGACCTTTTTTTTTTCCACCAATTTTGGGACTTAAGAAATATCGAGAAAAATAAATCACGCAAATAAATTACCATATGGTAAGGAATACTAAGCGTACCCCAAATATTCTCGAAATTCAAACTTCGTAAAGTTTGCGAAATATCGAGGCCTCGAAAATAAATTAAACAGTATTTGCTTTCAACGATGTCGAAAGGGCTAAGAGAAGAGAACGTCGTGTCGAAGACTGCCACTGCCGCCAAAGCTGAAGACGCAATAAAGGACGCGGTCGTGCAAACGTCGGCAGCAATGGCGTGACAAGCAAGCCAATTGTCGATGTAAACCGCAATGCGAACAAAGACACGCAAAGCGACTCCATCGCCAATGTGGACAGCGTCGCCAACAAAAATGCGAAAACTTATCCTTAATCGCCGATGTAAGAACAAAGCCGCAAAAAGAAAGTCGCCGTTTCGTGCGAAGGTGCCTCCATGTAACTCTCAGTCACAAACCTGAACTGCGCCTTCGGTTTTGATCTTTCTCTTGTGGGCGACGTAGTTGTCATTTACTTTATCTGTAGTGTACCGATTTGGAATGTCATCCAAGTTTCTGGTCCACGATAGCAAATCGGGACCAGCGGCGGTGGTGCTCGCGATCGCGGGTGCATATTGCATAATGGCAGCTCCTTACCCAACCACAGTGGCCAGCCGCACTTTCGAGGGCCGTTCAATTTCGGAAACGGTCTGTTCTTGGACCCTTTACATTTAAACATTTTTATATCATTGGAAAGATAAGTTGTTGACACATTCTTTATATGCTCTTTGTGTTTTCCGTAGATGTACTCGGGATCTTGTTAAAACATTACCTTGATAAGCTTGCTCTTAGACCTTTTTTTGTGTTTAATGAAGTATTGTCCTTAGACCTTGTGAAAGCGTTACAACGGTTCCAACGCTTACCTGCTTGATTTTTTATGTTCCCCTTTGATTCTCTTTCTACTTGAGATTCTCAAAATATATGGTTTTCTCAAGACCTTGTCACAATGTCACATATTGTTGTGGTTTTTTTTTGTTGTCCTTGGTTCCACTGCTTCAATCTGAGAGCAATTACCTAAAAGATTATTTTCTTCCTGTTACAGAGCCCCACATATGTACTGATGACATATGTAAGCGGAGATGCCATCGCACTGATTGCGGATAAGACAGATGACCAGGTGGTGACAATGTGCATGGAAGTGCTGAGGGGCATCTTTGCTGACCAGGTAAGTCCTTTTTACTAAGAGGTTTTATGTTGCATTATTGCACATCTGGTGTATATATCTTTAATTTTCTGATTTAGTGCCGAAAGTTATCACTTTTCTAAAAGCAAAGTCTTGTAGTCTTGAGGGAAGTGTAACATGCATTGAACAGATTTTCCTTCCATGAGAGTTTATATTATGTTGACATCACTGTTGGCATCAATTTGACAGGTTTATCCTCCATTGTTCTTGGTGTTTGTCTTAAGGTGAAAGCCTTACTTGTCCCATTGAGCGAAAAAGCGTTGAAAAAGCCAATAAAAATATGATTGAGCGGCACGGGCCGCTTAATAGGCGACCCTACTTGTCCCATTACCTTGGCGTCGTCCTTGCGGTCATCCTAGAAGTCGTCCTAGACCTCTAGGTTGACCTCACTTGACACATTACGTGTAAAACAAGCGTCGTCGTTGTGCCCGAAAGATGGGCATAAAAATGAGTAATCAAGCGTTGTGATACGTCATAACCAAGATGTCACCGCAAAAGTTGCTCTTCAGACTTCATCTTTGCTTGTGCGCTTCGTGCGATGGACTATGAGTCAACCGCTTCTATATCCACGACAGCTTCCGCAGGCAAACGTGGCCACCCACGTAAATACGGTATGACACAGCCTCCTTGAGTGTTCTCCTCTATGCGTCTTCCTTGACCTTGTCCTCGAGGCATCGTTTTCGACGTCGTCCTTAAGTTTGCCCTAGAAGTCATCCTATACGTCGTCCTTGAGGTCGTCGTCTCCGTTGCACTATACGCCGTCCCTGACATCGTCCTAGAGGTCGTCCTAGATGTCGTGCTTGGCATCGATCTTTGGGAGGTCGTCCTAAACTTTGATATGTGTAGAAATATTACTCTACAACATTTCTCCCTGGGGACTACAGTTGAAGCTCGATTTAACAAAACCTGAATTTACGAATTTCCCGAGTTAACAAACAAATTCGAACTCCCCGCGCAGCCTGTGCCCGAAAAATGTCTTTCTCAATTTTATGAAGTTCCCGATTTAACGAAACACCGTAATTAGCGGGTTTCAGTGACTTCGTTAAATTGAGGTTCAACTGTATAATGCTTTCGCCTTCCTACTTGTAAGCAAGTGTACTCCTGTAATTTTTTTATGCTGCCTTCAATAATTTACTTGTCTGCTTTATCAATGATAAACTTAGCATAAACTAGGGGAATTAAAAATCACATCTCATTTCTTCCTTCCTCAGTGTTTTGCTTATTTCCATGATGCATAATACCCCCCTTCCAGTGGGTCATGTGCTGTAGGTATCAGAGTAAAAAAAAGGAAATTTGGTAAGATAGAAGAATGTACTGTACCAGAATCTTACGGTTGACTGGTGCATTTGGAACACTCCAAAAGTGTCCAACATTTATGCTCACATTGCAGTTCACTCCTGTCACGAAGTGATCAATACTGATTGAAATCAGCCGACAAAGTTTGTGACAAGACTTGAGTTGTACTGGAAGGTCCTGCACCACCCTTAAAACGTAACCTCCCGTTCACTCTGGTGCTAACGCTAGCACTTAGCCAAATTCGAGCCCTTTCCCAGCCACGTATTATCAACAAGCCAAATAGACCCTTCCGGAAACATGTGGCTTCCCTGCCATCTGCTTGACGCGTCTTGGTATTCCGATGTACAGTATGTGAGGTTATCCAGGAGTAGAAGGCAAAGTTGATGTTTGTTTTGTTATTTCAGATTGCAGAGAAGGCAGAAGCAAAGCAAAACAGTGTTATGTTATGATCTCCTTTTGTGTTAGTCTATTTTTTGTGTGTTCTCTGGACTCCTAAAAGGAGAGAATGAGTCATGTCGCTTCCAGGATCTACGAAGCATTCAAGTCAGCTCGTGCATGCATCTGAGCAGTCCCGGAACTCCCTTTGCCTCGAGGTGTCCCGGGACCTTCCGGAAAGGTCTATGGGGGAGCTTGTTCTGCATTGTGGCCCCGCCCCCCTTCTCTCGCAGGACGTCCCAGACCCGACGGGCTTCCTGGTGACTCGCTGGAGGGAGAGTCCCCACGCCCGGATGGTCTACAGTTACGTCAAGTGCGGGGGTACCGGAGACGCTTACACGGCCCTCTCGGAACCCGTGAACGACCGCCTCTTCTTCGCGGGAGAGGTAAGCCATTTATTTATTTAATGGTATTGCGGCCACTGAAAGCCATAGCTAAAGTTGTCTACAATGTGAGAAATAGAAAAAATAAACAAAGACAGAAAATGTTTCATTAAGTGCAGCAGTCCAATTTTCAATTGAAGGAAGCGTCACTACAGTCGAGTCCACTGATAACGATATCCAAGTGCCAAGAAAATACCATCGTTATAACCGATAATTGTTATAAGCAGGTTGAGAAAAAAAAAAAAGACAAAAGAGAGATTGAAACATTTTATTTGCAAGCAAGTAAGGTAGTTAGTGCAAGTGCAACTACTTGTTTGCAGAAAAGCCATAGTCTGTCAGCTTTGATTGCTTCACACGAAGCTGGCGCACATCTTTCTCTAGAGCATCTCGGTGCTCCACATAGCTTAGCGGGAGGTCCTTCGCGAAAACAAAGTCTCGGAGGGACTGTATCATCCGCTGGGCCTCCTGCGATGACACCTGGGTAGGCTCCTCAACTGTGTCGTCGAAGTCGTTGCTCTCACCGCTGTCCGCATCACAAACACGCGCGACGATCGCCTCATCACTGAGGCACTCGGACGTTTCCACAACATCGTCTGCATGAAGGAAGTCGTCCAGACCCGATCTTGGATAGAATGCGCCGTTGGCGGATCGGGCATGACGCCCCGTCCGCAGTGAAACGTAAAACGAAGTTGGAGAAAGATAGTCAAAGCAGCGAGCACACAACAGGCGAGTGAGCGAGCGAGTGGCGCCAGTGGCGCGACCGGGCGCGCGGACAAGGCCAAAGCGGCGGCTCCGGGAGGGGAGTTTGGAAGGAAAGCTGGTCCTCCTCTCGCTTCCTTCCTAGTAAGCGGCGCAGTCGACTCGTTTTCTGAGGGGTGGAAGAGATGCGTGGTGCGGGGCGCAGCATGCCGCGTAGAGCCGGCGGCGGCTGGTATTTTCGGCGCGCGCTGTAACTGGAATCAATCGCTATATCCGATATCGCAACCCTGGAGCATCGTAATAAGCAGTTTATTTTACCATTGAAAGCATATAAAAGTGGACGGTGCCATCGTTGTTCATCGTTATAACCGATATATTGTTATAAACGGTATCGTTATAAGTGGACTCGACTGTATAGAATTTTTGAGTGAATTTCAGTCTTCCATTGCCTGAGGGAAAAAATTAATGCACATCTGAAAATGCTGCTTAAATCTGTATTGCTATATTGCTATGGTGCGATTGATCCCTTTCGTATGTCGCTGAACTGGGGTCAGGCGTGTTGTGTGTCGAGCACACGGCAATGGTATCTACAGCAAGGATTTTAAATCTGATTTCGAGGAAACCTTTGATCGATAGGCAAAAAGACCGTCCCGGTCTCGGTATTCATGAAGTGAACAATTTATAGACAAACTAATGTTTACAAACAAACCCGAGTACCCCTAGCAGACGCCACCGGCACTGCACATGCCCGATGGAGTATGGGCATAAAGCTAGCAGTCGCCCATAAAAAAACCATTGGAAGGCGATGTTGTCGGTGTCGGTGTGAGTCGCCGTGCTCTTTTTTGCAATGGAATTGTTAATTCCACGTCTTCCCATATATTAAATTGGATTCATGGCTTTTTAACTATTTGCCTACAATTCATTACTGCTAATAATATGAATTTGTGTACTGTTCCAGTCACCTCGAGTGTCCCACAGGGCTTGGTGCTTGGCCCGCTACTCTTTCTTATTTACATTAATGACTTGGTGCAGAACCTCTCTTCTTCTATTTACCTCTTTGCTGGCGATTGCCTAATATACCGGGAAATAACCGACATATCTGGCACTACTCTGCTACAATCTGACCTTAATTGTATATTACCGTGGTGTAACCAGTGGCTAATGGAACTAAACACTGACAAATGTAAATCGATGAGTGTCACATGCTCAATCAGCGTGCCGTACTTATCATCTTACCAGCAATCCTCTCACTTCAGTGTTTGTTTAAACCCTAATCCATCCAAAGTTAGAATATGCTGTTGCTGTGTGGGACCCTGCTTACTTGTCACTAATTGCTCTTTATTATTCCATTCAAAACCGCTCAGCTCGTTTCATATTGACAAACTATCATCACACTGCCAGTGTTTCTACCATGAAAAATACTTTAGGTTTGCCTTCACTAATTCACCGCCGAAAAATTTAATTTGTCTTTTTCAATAAAATATTTCATCAAAATGTTACCCCTCATGAACTAATTACTCCCCCATTCAATGTATCTGCTCGCATTGATCATAGCCATAAGGCTGGTTTTCCAAATTTTAAAACTTCATTATTTTAATATTTTTACATGTCACAAACATCTATAGACTGGAACCACCTTCCCACCCAGACTGCTAACATCACTGATATTGTTTTGTGTAACATGCTATTACTAATATGCACACTTTATAGTTTGTATTTTACAGCTCTCTCCCCTCTTCAATGTACTTACCTTGAGGGTATTTGAAACAAATAAATAAATAAATAAATGTGATTACTTTAGCAGCCTCAGTGAAATCAACGAGGCTTGTGCAGAACGTCACGTCAATAATGCGACATGCGGCGATTCATTTCGCGTCGATGCCTCAGAATGGGCGCTAAAACCTGATTCACACGATGAGATTCTGCTCGCCATTTTCAGTCGCGACGTCGCTCAGGCTGCAAAAGTGTGGACCGTAGCTGAAATGGTCAACGTCGATACTAAAAATCGCAAGCAGAATCAGACCAAGTGAATCAGAAAAAAACAAGTCGGTGATGGCCACTGGTAACAATGATCAACATCTCCTTGTGTCTACTATTTACACCGAGCCTACTTACCCCAACCCAGCCTCAAACGTAAAAGTCTTTCGAAGCCTGCTCTTACTTATCGCAATTGCCAGGTCGGTGTTTGGTCCGCGGGCCGCTGTCGTTTATATGAGCAGACGACAACAAGCAGAAACAATTGAAAGAGCAGACGACAGTTCGAATGATCAGGCTGCCATTTGAACTTGAAGACACACTGAACGTAGTCCGCAGGTGGTCCGTACAACGTTTTCCCATGTTCATATTGGAACCAAACAAATAAATCTGACGACCACAAGCATCCGTGAATTCAACCGAAAGCGATTCCTGTACAAGCAATCATGATCCGACGGTGTCTAGTTTTTATTTCTTTTGGCACCTATCAACGTTCTTGGACGAGCTGAGCAGGCAGAAAATGCATGAAAACTGACCTTCAAACCCTCCCAGACTCTTTTGGTACAGCCCCAGTTGCGGCGGTTGGATAAGGTTTCTGTCTGGTTTCTTCCAAAACAACACAGGGATACATGTCCCGCACGGTGACCAAAAGTGCTCCCGACGCGCCACCACCGTGCCGTGACGTAACAGAGCTGAGTTTGTGTATAGGGGAGAGCGTATGGTTGAAATTTGTGCTTCCGTGGGCGACTTGGGTCTGCTAAAATGGGGCTTAAACTTTTGGAACTTTACTTGGGGGCAGGGACGGTCGGAACTTGGGAGTGCGAGGTAAACAAACTTCAGTAAACATCTCTTGCACAGGGTGATCGGCAAATTACGAATCTTTGCATTATGATGAAAGGGTTCTTCCCTTTTCTCCAGGGCACCAACCGCATGTTTCCACAGACGGTCAGCGGTGCGTACATGAGTGGTCTGCGAGAGGCCTGGAACATTCTGTCGCGCATGGCCGTGGGCAAAGAGCCAGACCTACTGCTGCAGGTCTAGGCACCGAAGATTTTCCCGGTCCCTCCATCACCCATCACAGTTACTTCAATGCCTTCCAGCTACGCAAACCCTGCGAAGTGCAAGACTTTGGTGTTTTGGTGAAACGTTTCCAAGCCAGCCAATAAGTTTGTAGGCTGCATCCCTGTGCGGCCATTGTGAAAAAAACGTTTTGTTGATTGGGTACTGAAAATTTCATGCGTTAGAATGGTTTCTACGTTTGTAGGTGGTGTCAAGATGACGTAAGGAGTATATATTGTTCTGTGGTCAACCGGTGATTGCAAGCTTTTTTTTTTTCTCGTGTGCTGAAGACTATAGAAAACTGTTTAGCAACTTCATAAAATTGTGGATAGATAGTTTAAACAAACTAAGTCGTTATGTGGCAGACAGGACTTCTCTCAAACAAATTTTAATGCCAAAATAAAAAGGAGGTTGCTTCTTCGGCAGACCAAACTTGAGAACTAAAACTACTTGAGAAATCTGTATTTGTTTCATCAACACGAGTCTTGTACGCACAAGCATAAATATTATATGAGTCGGAAAACAATTATCAATCATAAATATTAGCAGTTGGAAAAAGAGAATGGCACTGTATTTTTAAGATGGCCACCAGGAGATTGCAGCTTTGAACAATGTAGATGTGCCCAAAAGACTGGTGTGGGCAGTGCCAACAAAGTGTTCTCTCCCAGCGTCCAGCTGTTCTTGTATTTTGTGATTGACACCACTGTGTCTAACCGAATTCAAGTGCTGCGAAATGTTTGGAGTCTTGCAGAGTGCATTGCTGTGGGCTGCTACTTCATATGGCAACAACTTAAGTAGCAAACATTTGTTTTTCTCGTCTTTCAAGTTGTCTTGTTCGTCTGTTTTTTGTTTTCAACCTAGGTAATACTCTGTAAATTTCGTACCCATGGTAGTTCATCTTGTACATACCTCGTAAACATGCATGCTCGTTTGTCAAATCTTTGTACTATAGTGAGTACTCTTTGGAAGTATTTGTCCACTGTAAACTTTTCCAGTGTTTATTTAATTTCTTGAGATTTTCACATATACATGCATAGCTACATTTTGCTTGTCTTAGCTTAAAAGCAACCTTAATTAGTGCATTAATTTTATGACCTTACACCAAATGCATTCCTTTGTGAAGACCACCAGTGAAGTTGCTTCGTTAGACACTTTTCAGAAGTTTCCCAAATTTTTGACTCATAGAGAATGTAACTAAAACAACAGAATTCAGTATGAACATTCCCTTCTTACTACTGATTTTAAGAAAGAAAAAAAAAAAAAAAAAAGCTTATGAGTAGAGGTACATCTTACGAGAAAACATGTCATGCTTTATGCCAAGGTACTTCATACAAATTTGTGCTGTATTGATTTGCGCATGCACATCTGCCCGATGTTTGCCTAGCATCTACCAGAGCATACCCAGGGAGTGCCCACCCACTTTCAGTGAAAACTGGGTTAATCTAGACATGTCGCTTGTCTGGTCAAATCTGGCAGCTAACATATAATTTGCAGAATTCCCAAGTTTGGGAAATGTTAATAGTAGTGGGTGCTTGAACGAAGTGGGTTACTGCTGCGATATTTTACGGTAATTTTGTTTTTATTGTATCGAATCTCTTAGTGCTGCGATGCCTTCTGTCCAAAGACTAGGCGAGGCAGAATTCCATTGCCCGAGAAGCCAAAACAGTTGCGTTGTGTATTTATACTTTGTCAGGCCATGGTATTCTCTGTGGAAACATGTTATTTGCAGGAGAGTGTCCTTTTCTTGTTCTGTTGTAAATAAAAACTGATTGTAGCTGCTCAAAAACTCTCTACTGCTCACTTGTTGGGGAAAAAGAGAAAATACTGTGAGCTGAATGCAGTCCCTTTATGGCTATTCGGCCTTTGGTTGAAGCTTCTCCTGGAGACACCTGAAATGGTCTATGACTTCCCTTTCCTTCTGCTGGAATGCCTCATCCATCCTTGCAGTCTTGTCCTTGATGTCCTGCATAAACTTCTCCCACTCACACTGCCGCTGTTTTCTCCTTTCGGACAAGTCTTCGGCCTGCAAAATTAATTTGAAGTAATTGGTGTAAGGATCCGAACAGTTACTTGGACCTAGTTTCTGGAAGCAACAGGTGCTTTTTGATAAAGGCGATGATTAGAACAATATCCGCGCGAGCACAAAGCGAGTGGGGGTGATGGAGCGATTTTTGTGGCTCTCAAAATCCGCACTTTCGAGAACTTTGCACAATACGGCAAGCAGTGGCTTACAACGTTGATTTTGTCCTCTGCTTCTAGGATCTTGTTACACATGCTGAGGGCAACTTCCAGGTTTCCCGTCAGGTTGCAGAGTTTCTGGTCGGAATTCCGGCAAATCCGATCAATTTGAGTTTCCCTGATTTCGGTGACATTCTCCAGAATCTCGAACAGTCGCTGTACCTCACGATCATTCCGTTTTTCCTGTAACAGATAGGAAACCGTAAGTCTTATGCCGATCATTTTTGAAGTCAGAAACTGTCTGTTTGTAATACCTCGAATTCTTTGATGAAATATTTTATTTCTCCTTGAAGGAATGGCTTGTGGTCGAACAGTCTGGAATGCACTTCGCCGATATCTGTACAAAACGATTTCGAAACCAACTAAGAAACGCCGTATTCTTGCCATCGTGACGACTTAGGCATAATTACTTTCGCTCACTGATATCTCAGGTCATTTATAACTACAATGATTCGATGAAACAATATATGTAAAACAGATTAAAACCGAAATATATTTCACCTTTCAAGCTGGCTGCAAGCGCCGAAGCATCCGCCATGTTTACATAGGCGGCGCTGTGAAAAATTTCCCGGCACACTTTGCGACTCCAGCATTCCCTTTCCGGTTGAATCGCCATCATGGGTAAGTCCGCTGTTGGGTCCTTGTCTCCAATCTTCGTTAATCCAACGTTTGGTTGCTTTTACTATGATTCCAAATAAGCTGTCTGGTTTTACGTTACATCCTTAATACATTGCATCCCGTTGTTTCTGGTTGTATAACTGCAAAGTAAGTTAAACTACCACTCGAAGTTGGCGGTGTTCGTTCGGCTGTCGGTATGGAGGTCCGTCTATCCGCACGTGTAAGTTATCGTGATGGCCCCTATTCTTTGTCGAAATGTGTAGCCTGAATAACTAAGGTAATGTTTAATGACGTGTGTAAGGTAGTCGCACTTTCTCGTGTCATCAGACTACTTTTGGAGTGCTCTGTGGTGTCCTACCGGCTCGCAGTATTCGGGCTGCAAACTTGTGTTCCCTAAATCTCTGACGTGATGAACTCAAATATACCATCTTTCGGCTGATGACTGTGCTGAAAGTCTTGTTCCTGACACTCACTTACCACGAAAGTTGCGTTCACGAAGAAGGTCTAGGTTCGGAACTAACGAGTCTGGGGTGTTATGACGGCCTGCAGGTATCTCCCGTGACCACTGGCACAAGCGCAGGAAGACTGGCGGCAAGCGCAAGCCCCTGCGCAAGAAGAGGAAGTTCGAGCTCGGTCGTCCAGCGGCCAACACAAAGGTGAGCGGCACATACCGCGTTTTATATCAAGTGTGGCCACCGCGCCATTTTGTTTTCAGTGTGATAGCCACAAGCTTTGTTAGGGCTGACATGCAAAATCGTGCCAACAATTCTTGGCCAGGGAACGCCAGGCAGCAGAGTATATATTACAAGCTGTCTCCCAGACTATCTTATTCGCTTCCAAACACTGACCTTTCCATTCCAGTGACTGCTTCCACTCCTATGCTGCGTGCATTAGACTGTTTCTGGTTTTGATAAGCCTGCAGGTTGGTCTTTAACAAGAACCTTCTTTCCGCAGCTTGGCCCCAAGCGTATCCACACGGTACGGACACGCGGTGGTAACAAGAAATACCGGGCGCTCCGTCTCGACTGCGGGAACTTCTCCTGGGCCTCTGAGCGTATGTTCTCGTGTTGCCTTGTAATGCACTCACACTGACCACCCCATTCTGATGTTGCATGGCATGAAAGAACACTCGACGGTTTTGAGTGTCACCTCGCTATCATGACGAGGTACTCTTTGATATGTAGTGCAGTGGTGCGATTGCTGTGCCATTTGCACAAAACCACTTTCCCTGCTACGTTTTGTGGGGAATTTGCACCAGCATTGTGCCAAAACATTTTTTTCTTTATTATATCAGAAAAATAAATCTGGTCCCACTATACTGCCAGATAGTTGCCGTAGGCTTGTGCAAATTTCCAGAAGTTCTGGTTATCGTTTCAAATATCATCCTTTTCAATTTTATGCACCAAAGCCAAGCCTGGAAATAACCTAAACAAGATAATGTGTTTGTTTTTAAAGCATATGTGTTGACTTTTTGTTATAAAGCTTATAAAATGTCATCTATGTTCATATTCAAATGGGATGCTTTTTTATCTAAATTTTATAACATTTTTCTTTTACAATGTTTGGAACTTTTTGGCTTCTCCAAAAGGTACTTCAAAATGAGTTAGACCAGTCACATCACTAAGAGTAAGCTTTTACACTTCGTGCCATTTCTTGGCCTAAGGGCTTGGTAGCAGGGACGGAGGGGGGCACACATGATGATTATCTTTGAACCTGAAAAGGGGCACTATAACTTCGTCCTGGAGTTAGTTCCCCGTCAGCATGAGGGTTCTTTCTTGTCATAGTTAATCTGACTGCCTCCCTCCTGGAAAGTTACAACATTTTGGTTCAGCTGTATCTGTCCATTTATCCATCTATCCGTTGAATTCAATGTATACACCCTAACCATCAGCGATGTATCATAGGTCATACATGCTACAATGCATGATGCAATGTAGTATTAATGATCTTGAGCGTGCCCCTTCCTCCTTGATCATTATTGTTCCTTAAATGAACTATCTGCAATTTCACATATTTCAGAGTAACGTTCTGTTCAGAACTTTCCATCACTTGTAGAACAAACCTATAGTCCGTTGCAACCTAAGAACGAAGGGCAGGGGTACGACAGGCCGGAGAGGAAGCTGACGAACACTACAGAGAGGAGGTTTCCCCTCTCCTCTCCAGCGTTTCGCCTGCTTCCTCCCCCCGCCAGTCTTACCCTCACCCTTCGTTCTTAGGTTGCAACGGACTAGTTTCCTTGAACTGTAGCTCATGGTACAACTGGCTGCGATGCTTGCTTCTTTTAAGTGATGGTACAGTTTACTCCTAAGGTGCTTCAAGAAGAAAATGTTTTTGCCTTAGTGCTAAAAATGCTGATTTTTCTGCTCCTAATTGGGTGTTCACACGAAAGAGAAATCCCCCACTTCCCTCCGGGGAACACTCATCACGTGAGACATGCGTCATCCCTTTTTGATGCCTCGCAGCGCCGTCCACGGCGAAGGCTTCATCCTCCTGTCAGCACGAAAACTCCGCAGGTAGACGGCAAAGCCGAGGATGGAGTTTTCCGGGTTGTTGACGTCACGACATCTGTCTTTGGAGTTCTCCTTGGTGTGAATACCCCTTACGAAAATGAGGTTTTCTGCAACATACATTGTTCCAAAACCAGTTTGATCTGACCCACCTCAGATTGGTGGCAACAAAGTGCATCATGCTCGACGTCAGATATTTTGTGCTGCGTTGTCAAGACTAGCATAGCTTCCACGGTGACGTGTGAGAATGTGGCCTCGCCTTGCATCTTGCAATGGTAGCTTTTCCAGTGTGGGAACACTGCGGAAGAACATAGCTATAAACAAAAAATACTAGGCATTTAGATCAATATAATGAGACCAAGTATAGGCCATTTCTTCATGGCAGCATCAGTGTTGAATTCTGAAGTAGTTTGGGCAAAATAGCAAATCTCCTCCATTGCTGTTTGGAAGGCGCTAGAATTCGAGGGCCTGTAATACTACTTTTTTTTGTCGGCCATACTTTTTTTTTGTTGTAGTTTTTTTTTTTTTTGGTTTTTTAGTAATTTTAGTTTTTGTTGCCCAACCCAACTACTTCAAATTTCAAGTGTCGAATCCCTCGTTCTCAGACTGCACACGAAAGACCCGAATCATCGACGTGGTCTACAATGCCAGCAACAACGAGCTGGTACGAACCAAGACGCTGGTGAAGAACGCCATTGTGATGATCGACGCCACCCCATTCCGGCAGTGGTACGAGTCCCACTACGCCTTGCCTCTGGGCCGCAAGAAGGGAGCCAAGCTGGTGAGTGCCCGCGAGCATGTGACCTATCCACCCGCTAGAGCCACCGTATGTTTTCAGAGTACCGTGCATAGTGGAGTCTCTGGGAAAAGCGATTGGTAGCCTCAGTGCAGGACTAATTGCATTGGGAAATAATTTTTTTGTCAATTTGTGCATTGAGATTGCTGCTGTGTTATTTATTTATGATAAAGTTCTCCACTCTCAAGATGTGAAGGGAGTGAAAAGCCAACTTCTAAATCAATCCAACAGCTGACATGCAGAAAAAAAATGAAAACACTTCTGGGGGTATGAGCAGTGGTACAAGTAGATGTTTCTCTGTTGCATAAACAGTCTTGGTCGAACGTTTGGTGTCACTGCCTGTGGTGGGAGCGGACTCCCTTCTTTATGGCGGCTTTGCTGATGTCGGCATTCACTTGATTTGAAGGTTTTGGGAATGGGGGGAACTTCATACCCAAACCGCTCGCAGCCAATGGGTGCAGGCGATAGCAGCGCCACCATATGAGAGCAAGCCAGGTCGGACCACATGTGTGGTATCCGAGCATTCGACAAAGACTGCCCTTCCATCCGTTGCTCCTTGTGAGTTTAGAAATGCCGTTGGGATCGCGACTTTCCAAGTTCGCTGCGTGTTCACACCAAATGCATTGAGGTGCTGTAAGCTTGTTCCGAGCAGTTTTCTGTGGATTCTAGGCGTTGATGTCAGTGGCTGTTGTAAAGTTTTGGCTCTGCAAGTGTCAAATGGTTTATTCCCCCTGCCACTGGACTCCCAAGTGATGATTTTACAAATTCACCATCTTTCGGCAGAGGGTCTTTGGGACCGATGCTGATCTCTTGTATGTTTCTGAGGAGTCTTTTGTGGGTGTATGTTTCCTCTGTCTCTTGTCTCGTCTTGTGTTGGCACTAAGCAGCTTGCCTCCTCTTTGCATTGCTGCTCGCAGGCGGACATTGAGGGCGGAGCCCTGGTGAAGAAGCGCAGCAAGAAGCTCGAGAAGAAGATTAAGGAGCGCCAGAAGGTGGCCAAGGTGGACCCACTCCTGGAGGAGCAGTTCATGACGGGCAGGGTCAAGGGTGCGTGCACACTGGCTTTTCTTTTTTGACATGTCTCAGTTGCTGCGTTCAACAAACATTGCGTGAACACTTCGAAGCACTGCTGTCCGATTGTCTACATCATATCTGCATTGTTTTACAGACAACAGATTTCAGATTTATTCAAAAGTGTATCAGCTGCTGACGGAGTAAGAACTGTGGGGCGTTTCTTTTGAGCGGCCAGCACATGCTCCGTACCTTCATCTCTGCTCTGGCTGCATGCATGCGCTCGAGGTACACAAGACATTGAGGCTTTGTTGAGGGTAGAAGGCTTTTGCTGTGCCCCAGCAGGACCGAGTTCATTTCGACCACCTGGAGATCTCGGTTGCACGGCGCCTTCTCCGCAATAAGCATCCGTCTGATTGCAAGCACCTTGGCCGGGATTCGAACCCACCACCTGGGTGTGCGTTGCCCGGTGACTTGATTGAAGCTTTCCTCTGCTGCTCTCAACTTGTCAGTGACTAGCTATTCGGCTCGAGATCGAACCGTGTCGCCACCGTGCGGCCGAAATCGGAAACGCGCGAAAGCGGGGATACCGCCGTGCGTCGTCTGCTACGGGCGCACGCTCAGAAGCATGGATCTCGACGACGCAAGCCCGTTTCAGGCTGAGCTTGACATTCTTATTAAACGTTTTATGTTTTTGTTGCCGTTTCTTCTTACTAAAGGTTGTGTTGTATCGTTTGCCATGCGTAGAAATTCAGCAAAGCGATTATTATTAAGTCGGAAGCTTCCATAATCTTAGTGTGTTGTTTTTTATACAATCGCTGGTCCCACGTATTTTTGCTATCTCGCACAAACCGTGGCTTTCATAAAGCATTGAATGTTGAGCGGGTTTGTGGTTTGATTAGAAATTTAACCCGACTGATCGCTATCCTTCAATAGACTAATCAATCAATTAATCCGTATGTTGATTTTTCCCCGGTCATATTGCGTGAAAGACGTTAAAACTATATATATATTTTTTACTGGTTTTACTATGTCATAAATGGCATATTGCATTCCCATTCTAAACTTTACGTTGTGAGTCCTACATAAATATGAACACAGAAGCCTTTTAAAATGAAGTATTTTTAAGTTATTATTTAAACAGTATAATCACCCTCGGCGAAATGACAAGCACGCTGAAGTGGTTTACCGTGCAAGCCTGTGTCACAAAAGAAGTAAAGACGCCAAAAATATTAAAGCAGGCATATTTTACTCCTTGATGACTTTCTCCAGCACAAGACTCCACCGGCAAAAAAAAAAAAATGCAATTAAAGCATTACTCGAATAGTCGGAAAGTTAATCGATAAACTGCCGTGTGTCGTGGTGCGCGTCGTTTGCTTGGGTTGCAAAGTCTACCGTGTTTGAATACAAGATTATTTAGCCAGAAATTTATAGTATTAGCCTCTTGACATCCGCGGCTCTCACCGAGAGAATTGAAGCGGGTGAACCCGCACTACCGAGAAAAGCATTTAATAATAGAAACATTGTTGCGTTGCTCGGTTACACTCGTTTATTACAGTCACGGCAGATATATTAGAACAGTTTGCTTCACTTGTTTCAGTTGTGCTGCCAACGTGCAGTTTGCAGATTTTAACTAGAAGAGACACTCTCTCCTCATCGCAACGCAGTAGATTTGTTCAGGCTCCAAAAACCTTACCCACACTATGGCACAGTAAAAAGGCAGAGGAGCTCAAGAGCATGGTAATTTCCAATACAGCGCTAACTTATCTTCATTCTAAATATTTATATTACTGCAAAAGCTAGACGTTAAAAAAAGAAAGCCCAGAAGCTGCGATTTCACAGCTCACAGTAGCAGTATTATGTTAGCTGGGTTGGAATTTATTATTTTTTTAATTCCCACGTTGATAAACCGATACATCCATTCTAAAAGAAACAAATATTTAACATAAATATTCCAGTTTAGCCGCAGACAGCCATCAGTCGTGGTGATCCATGCTTTCCAACGTCTGCCTAGAGCAGACGACGCACCCACAGAAGCGATTATATAAGTTTGGGCCGCACGCTGGCAACACGATTCAATCTTCACTGAAGCATCGAAAAGTACTGCATCCTTTTCCGCTAGAATTGTTTTCCCACCGATAGTATGCGACAAAATAAACGCAAGAATCTACGCCGTCTCGTGCGCGACCGTGGAGAGCCTGTGGGGCGGCCGTTTTCCTATCCCCGCTTTGATGATGATGATAGCGCAACCGCAGCGCCACCTCTAGGTCGATCTCGAGGCCAATATTCATGTTCTGCTATAGACCAACTCAGCTCTTTAAAGTCACTGCACATGCGCAGACGCCTCGCTTCTCCTGGATCTGGTTCCTCCTGCACATGCGGAGTGCCCACCCCTGTGTGGGCAAACGAGGGCTTGTTTCTAAACATTTTGTATAGATTTAACCTTTTGGAATATTTGCCAATGGCATAGAATGCAGGGGTGGAACGGCTGCGCCATTTGCGCCATTTTGCGCCAGACGGATGTGTCTGCGCCATCCTGCACCATGTTGCAGAAACTGCGCCAAAGCCAATACCTCGCGCCATTATGCGCCAAATCGCAAAACGTGCGCCAAAAAAACGTTTTATTTTGTCTTGGTTTCGGTTTTTATCGACTCGATTGTCAACAATGGGGGCGTTTAGCCTGGTCGGCCTTGCAATCCCTTGTTATGTTTATTCCCCTTGTCTATCCCGAGTCTGAAGCGCGCGAAAAAACTCGGATTCTAAGCGCTACACCACCTGCGACTGGATTGTTACTCTTCAACCATAAGCGGTAGGGCAAGTAGGCCGAGGTGAGGTCGAGTCGTTAAGCGTCAGATTGCATGAGGCTCTGCGGCCCGGGATCCGGGCGTCATTTAGTCGAAAGCAAATGAGCAAAATATTCCTTTTAGTGCTTCATCGTTAGGAGTTGGAACCGCATTCTTGCAAGATAAATTGTGATTTGATAGAACTGAAACGCGGTCCGATCCGAAACCTTGCCGGTCAGCAGCTCTACTTATCTGCTCGGCGTACTTTAAGCTTGCTCCTGCTTATCGCTTCAAATAAGATAACTTCGTTAATCGTAGTCTGCTGCTTCGATATCGAGTTGCACAATAGGATAAACTCGAAATTTGTTGCCCTGTTCCTCCGTGCAACTGCACGTCCGTTGCTTACGCACGTCACGTGGTTCGCACATATAATCACTATGTTGAGCACGTGTGGGTTGTGCGATAAGCAGAGCTGGTTTGCATCTTGAGCGTCTGAAAGCCACTCAGAAAATATCAAGGACGCTATCTTCAGAAACATAGAGTACTTGCTGTTTGATTCTCATTAAGGCTCACAAAGATTGAAGTTTTCGCACATATTACACTGTTATCCCCTCTACCTAGGTCCCTAACCGCTCATGTTCATCTCTGCTGCTTAGCACAATTGCAATTGCTTTCGTGCTTGTCTAAGACACAAGCTGAAGTGCAAGGAGAACTGATCTGAGCTGCTCCTAGCCTGCTCCAGAATGTAGTTTTAGCTGCTCCCAACCTGCTCCAAAACAGCTGTTTCAGCTGCTCCCGTGGCTGCTCCCAAGTACATTTCATGAGTTCCACCCCTGAGAATGTAATAGATGGGAAGACTTGCCTTTATGACATGGGTGTAGAGTGCACACCATGTAGCTCAATTCCAGTACTTTTTTCCTACTGTAGTTTCACGGTGCTAAGGCTTGCAAGGATGTTTGTTGTCTTTTTTTAGAGAGAGGGTATGGTTAAGGCACACAGGATGATTGCTTTGAACCTGACCAGGGTCACTTTGACTCCGTCCTGGAGTCTGGTTTCCCGTCAGCATGAGGGTTCTACCTTGTCATAGTTAATCTGAGTGCCTTGCAAACTGCTTACTGCCGTGAGATTGGGGCTGTTGTTCTCCAGTGACTGACATTTTGTTGTGGTTTCATGTGCAGCCTGCATCTCCTCACGACCTGGCCAGTGTGGTCGCTGCGACGGCTACATCCTGGAGGGCAAGGAGCTCGAATTCTACACGAAGAAGATCAAGTCTAAGAAGGGCAAATAGAGCGCAAATAAAATGGCACTTGATGGCCTTTGAAAAGACTCATTTTTTTACATCTTTGCTTCAATAGTATCATGTGGGGTCAAGTGTTCTTGAGCTGGGGAGATTATTGGGCCCACATAGTGGAAGTTTTAAGGGTGATGCCAAGAAAGGGAGAAACAAGTGTGAAATGGTATTTGGTGTTACATCGGGCTTGCGATCCGATTTGGAACAAAATAGGCCTGCCAAATGATGGGATACCAAGGAGTATGTGGTGTTTGAAGTTCGGGTCGTCTATATTCAGAAATTTCGTACTAAAGTGTACTACATCTGGTGCTGACAAAGGCACGAGCCCGTGGGTTGGGAAGTTCTCATAGAGACCGCCCTGGTAGAAACGCATTCTGCTATCGCGCATGCGTATTCGGCTTTACTCAACGTTGGCCTACTGCACTTGAGTCTTGGTGCCTAGTTCTCAAGTCATTGATGTAGAGGCTGCATAAATGAAAACAAAATAAACACAGAGGACGGACAGAACGAAAGAGGTCAAAAAGAGGTGTTCTGTCCGTCCCGATGTTTATTTTTTGTTTTTCTTGAACTTCACCAACGCGCTCACGTCGAACTAAAACTGCATAAATGTTTGTTTTAAAACTTGTCATTTGCCCCACTGATCTATTAGAGATCAGAGGGGTTACAACCTAAAACCACTTTTTCTGACGATTTTTTCTTGCATCTTTTCCAACGTTGATTCTTTCAAACTGAAATCACAAAGTCAACAAAGCCAGCGTAATCGCTAGCGTGATCTGTAATGGCCGCGCAGAGTTTGCGCGGGATCGTGTTGTGACTGTCGGCGTTTTTACCTTCGTGTATGCCTTCTCGCTTCTATTGGCAAGTCTCAATATTTTCAGTATTGTCACTTTAACCACACGCAGTCAACTGTTCACGTCCGGCGGGACTCAGCTGGTAGACAAGAGCCTGACCGACAGCGTCTGGTAACGCCGGTAAAGATGGTCCGTCGGAAAACTAAGCAAGTGAACATCGGGCCGCTGCTCGTCCGTACCGCCAACCAAAGCAAGGAGCTTCTGTCCGAGTTTCCGGAGCTGCAGTCCTTCGCTTCCGGCGACGTTCGGGTCACGGTGACGTGCGAGAGAGCCGTTGAGGCGTCAGAATCCCTGCGCCAGTGGGCCTTAGATCTAACCCGGGCCAACATGCAGAGCCTTTACGAGGCCAGTCATTGGGGCTGGAGCGAGAACGCCAAGAAAAAGGAACTCGGACATCGGGATGCCTGGTATCTCGTGGCACGGGACCAAGCAGGCAAGCCCGTCGGCTTCGTGCACTTCAGGTAGGTCAGGCAACGGGACAGATCGTGGTGGCATCTAGTAAACCTCACCCCGCGCAGCCAGTGACCGCCGTCTTTCAAGTTCTGTTGACAGTGCACTTCCGGATGTCTCCTTTTTCTACCTCATACTTGAGAAGTTGCATGCGGGAAATAAGCAAAAGAAGCAAATGAGAAAGATAACCATTCGATGGGCACAGCTTACTCGCTCGCATCCCAAAATATTCTGGCCTGGTTTGTCTTGAGAAGGAAGAGTTCTCATATAGCACAATTTTGATTACGCTGACATTGGTTGTTGTTCTAAAATTTGCATCTCCCCTACTCCTTCTCTGAAAAAATTTCCAAAATGTCGGGCATCAGATATCCAACATAGTATCACTTTCGATTAAGAACAAACAACCAGCCAGTGCAGCTATAGACTTGGCAGCCTTAGCTTAAATTGGCCAACAATATCTTTTGCCGTCTGGTCTACACGGTGCTCACCTTCAAAATCTGCCGGGTTTGTAACGTCTTTGGCCGTCTGACACAGAACGCCCACATCCGTCCCTCTGTACGTGACACGCAGGTTTGACATGGACTTTGACCTAGCCGTGCTGTACTGCTACGAACTTCAGCTAGAGCCCCAGGTGCAGCGCCGTGGCTTGGGCTCCTTCCTCATGCAAGCCCTGGACGTCCTGGCCCAGCGTTTCCGCATGTGCAAGCTGCTCCTCACCGTCTTTGTGGGAAACGAGGGAGCCCTGGCCTTCTACCAGGGGGCGCTGGGCTACCGCACGGACTGCACCAGCCCCGGCAATGGTGCCGACTATCTCATTCTCAGCAAGCCCACGAGCGTGCCTAGCAGACGGTGACTGCCCTCGTCCCAAGTATGCTATCGTCCAGTTTGCAGGCTCTTCGGTAGACCTTATTCATTTGTATTACCCTCTGGAGGAAATCCCTGGGTCAGTAGAGGTTGATCTTGCTGCAAGTAGCAGTATGTCTGTGGCATGTCATGGTTCGGTGTTGATAGTTTGAATAAGCAGGCATTCCATTGGAGCTCTTTTTATGCAACAGCCGCATTACTGATAGTGAAGCAAAGTGTTGGCTTGTGAATCAGCAACAGACCCTTTTCATAAAAAAAATCAAGCGACATTTGAGTTCACTTTTTGGGCCAGGGGGAAGAAGCGAGTGGTGATGGTTTTAGTTTTTTTTTTGCCCGATCCCCCCAAAGGTCATCCTGATGATGTTCCACACCACCTAGTAATAGTTATGAAATTGCAGAGGGTGAGCAAATTGGTGAAGGAAAGAAATCATACTTTTGGCTTTTCATTTCTAGGCTAGGTGGCGCAAGCTACCACCCGTTATAAAGGGTACAGCCATTAGCATCCATCCATCCACCCGGCACAAAGCATGTAATTGGATCTAAATCCTTGCCAGACGCTCACACAGCGCTTGCTTTCTATACGAGATGAGCAGAGTTCTTGGCAAATGGTGACACTACGCACATGTTCAATAAATGTTTAGGGTATGTGCCCAAGCAATGGCAGACTTGGATAAATTGTACTACAGCTAATAGATGGCATACACTTTTGCTATGGGTCTATTAGCAGCTTCAAAACCCCATTAATATGCCTGCGATCTGTTGATTGCTCCTTCTTACAGTGTAGGAGCCGTGTAAGTACAATTTTAACCTAATGCCCTTAATTGGCTTGGATGTTAAAGGGAAACTGAAACACTTCTTTCAAGAAATCAGATAAAAGTTGATTTCAGAGTAGTTTTATCCCGTGAATTTGAACATCTTACTTGTTTTCGCGAAGATGTAACTAAATGCGAGAAAGCATGAAAAGCCTTTGATCAGTTGTTACGTCATAAGAGGACCTTTTGGCCGCAAAGCGCGTGTCGCTCGAGGGCCGCGCATGCAATTGCAAGCTTGCCAGGTGTATATTCCCCTGCACTGGCAGCAGTCGTGATGTCTTTTTCTGCCCTTTTTAAAGATAGAAAGAGCACACTTGCGTAGCTTTGATAGGCGCTGAAAATGCACGAGAGCGGAGATTCCGAAAACTCTTTTTGTTACGTTACGCTTTAGGAAGGAGGGCCTTCAGCGATACTTTGAAATTGATTTTCTGCAGCCTCTACGCACTAAATTAAAAAACAATTTCGATATTCCAGATTGTGGAGGTCAAATGAAGACGATTTAAAGGACAGGCAACTTTGGTCAATTCCGAAAATTCTGGTATTACGGGCAACTATTATGTCAAAACTACTATTAAACAGTTCCATGTCATTCGTTTTTCGAAAAGTTAAATAGTTTTCTTGCAAACCTCGTTTAAGGGGACACACCCTCTAGGGGGGTCAACTTTTGAACCCTTGTTTTAAAATTAATGAAATTTACAGGGTAGGCTGGTGGTCATGCTAGAGGGTTTATAACAGAATTTCAGATCTTTCGGTAAAATAAGAAGGAAATTAGAGTAGCTTCTATCAGCAACACGCCTACATTGTTTAGTTAATCTATCGTCAAAAAACTATCACAATATTCCAAATTTTTATTTGCTAGATATGTAGCAGAATGCCTAGATGGTGTGGCTATGGAACGTTTTTTCTAAAAAGTAATTTATTTCTATAAAATTTCTCTTCTGCAAAATTGGTCAACTTTTTGGTCTTCTGTGTCTTCGACAAAATATCAACATTTTTTATAAAAGACATCCGTAAAGTAACAAAAAAGTTCCATAGCCGCATTCCTTATTAAATTTCAGTCAGGAAAAGGGAAGAATGAGCCTTCCCTGTTTTGCCATTATCAAACGATAGATTGACTAAAATGGAATTTATACCATATAGTGGAACGGAGAAAAATGTGTTCAAAGTACTCCAAACTCTACCTTTTCTTTAGCTTTGGTGGACAGAAAATAATTTACAAAAACTTAACTATGCAGTGAAAATTAATTAAACTTTTCGGGACTACTCTCTAGATGTTGGTGGATGTAAATATGTCATTTTTCAAAATCAACTTTTTTTGTAGAAATTTTTTTTTTCTGGGCAGTGTCTCCCCTTAAACGAAAATGACAAAGCAAAACCGAAACATTGCCCGCGGCAGGCAACATTAGTCCTGCTCGTCAACTACTGGACATCATGTGGTACGGAGACATCGGCTATGTCATCAATGAAAGTGCTGGACGGCGTCCCACACTCTTTTTTCTCTTTTGCCCTCGTGCTCCGTGCCTCGAAAAGTAAGAAACAAACAAAACAATTCTTTCAGTTGTCGACGTTTCGCGCAGTGTTGGCTGTGTCCTCACAGCGGCGTTGACTGCGCTGCTTCACGCGTCGCCCGCTAGATTGAGTGGATTTTGCTGCCCATGGCGCCGCTCCAACTTTGCTTAATAAACTTTAAGGTGGAATTGTGTCGTAATATATTAATGTGTAGGCTTTCTAGATGATACGACGTAGGACTGCGTTGTTTTCTCAACGACCAGAGTTGCCCTTTAAGTGTGTTTCCTGAAATGCAGAACCGCTTCAGCTTCCCTTTAATGGTCAGAATTCCAATTTTGTTCATGAAGCTTTAGCAATGCATGCCATAGGGGTAGTGACAAAACACACATTGCCCCCTGCTTGTTTAAGACTGTTTTAAGATTGTTGTGGACTGAAACGTTCGAGTCCTTGACAGGCCAGAAAGGTGGCACAAGTGAAAAACTGCAGTTTGGGCTTTACCAAATGGCAACATGTTTTCATTATCGCAGCCTGTGATTTGTTGTTCTCTCCACTTCCCACGGTGAACATACTGAGTACATAAGCTATGCGACCGATTTTCTTCACCCTCTCTTGACAATGAGAGCCTCTTGTGTTGTTTGCCGACACCTTCACGCACCTGTCACTTAAGAGACTAGGAAATGCTCTTGTTATGGCTAGGATTCCGTGTTTTCGGAAGCTCCGATGAACACTCGCTGGTAGAATTTATGTCAACTCAGATCTATATGAAAAATTCAATTAGAGTCACGGTAGCAAAACGAAAAGCAAAAATGACTATTTTACTAATAAAGCTCGTCAGAGCAAAAGGTTTGTAGGCCTGAGAAGTGGTCACGTCACTTTTTTTTTTTTAGTCTAGGATTATTATTAAAAGGATGTTTCCCATTTATCTCGGCAGGGTTTGTTCAGTACAGTGGGTCAATATACTTCTGGTTTCCAGTTCCATACTATTGTGTTTCTTAGATAGAGTAGGAGTTGTAATTTTTATAACAGTGAAAGAAACGAATCTGTAGGGGGGGAGAGGGCAGCCAGTGTTTATGCTTCCCGGCGACTCCGTCTAGGAGTTCGGCCATTTCAAAGCACCAACGTTTATTGAAGCAACACTTCTTTGCAAGATTTGTTGTTGTCCACTTAGTACTGCCAATCGCAAGAGCGCCTATGACAAATGCAGCTGCAGAAAGACGTTTTGATGCCAGCAAGTTTTTTGTAAATTTAGGATAAATTTTTGTCCAAACATTTGTTTGTACATTAAATTTAAAAAAAAAAAAAGAAGTACTGGAACACGGTAAAATTAAATTTAGAATTTAAGAGATTTGGGAATCTAACAAAACTAAAGTCCGATAAACGCCCTATTTTCAGCGAAAAATAGTCTAATAAACCCTGAATTTCAAGCGAAAAATAAGCTCAGAAAAACACCCTCCAAATTTCATGAAACATGAACTCCGGAAACACGGAACACTAGTTATAGCCATCTCAATGAATTTTGTCTTTTCAAATGGCAGTGCTAACATGAACTCCGGAAACACGGAACACTAGTTATAGCCATCTCAATGAATTTTGTCTTTTCAAATGGCAGTGCTACAGCTGTGTGTTGGCCTTCGGTTCATCTTTTCATTTTATTGTGCGACAAGTTTGTGCAAGAAACAAGCGGGCTTCTCCGTCATTTATAATTTATCACATTGGTTCAATGTGCAAGGTTACCTTGGTTGTACAAGCACCGTCAGAGCTCGCATGTGGCCAAGCATAGACCATGGCACTGGCCTTTGGATATCAAAGGATTCCTCGTATTGTTCTTTTCATGCTGCTGCACTTCAGTGTTAATCTTGCAGTTCACTTCTCACTGGAACTGCCAACCAGGCACTGTAAATAATATTCATCAACTAATAAAACCTGTTGGAAAACTACCCGATACTGGGTTATTTATGGGACATCACACACACAGACATTTCTTAGTAAAACCTATATTATAGTTCTTTCTTCCCAGTACCCTGCACATCTTTACGGTGTTAGGATCTAGGGGGTTATTCTATATAAATTCACTCTACATGAGCTATCTTTCAACCGTTAGAGTCATAACTTCCTCCTCCTCTCTTGTTGGCCAACCTGGCGCACACTGTTGTCCCATTACATTGTCAAACGTGAGCAACAATGCCCTGCTGTGTCACCCGCTGGGCAGGGTGTGAACTCCGTGCCAAGCATAGTGTGTGGCGCGCGAGCACCCATGTTCTGTGCGTGGCTGTCGCACAGACAGCCTGCACCCTCACAAAGGAATGAATAAAACATGCACATTCCCTTTTTAGCCTAATAAAGCCTGTTGCAAAACTACCCGATTCTGAGTTATTTATGGGACAGCACATACACAGACATTTCTTAATAAAACCATTATTATAGTTTTTTGTTCCCAGTACCCTTCTACTTCTACTTTAAAGTAACAGTGGTTAGGTTCCCACATTTTATGGAACGCTGGCTCCACTGGTCTCTTGTCATCCATTGAGTTTAACTGAATGTGATCATATAGGGCCGGTTTTGCTACTGTTGGAGAATGGACATGGGACAACAAAGAAGTGGGCAATGGGGTCGCACGCGGAAAAAGCCTGCCATGTTTTTATTCTAATAAAACTACTACCATCATGTCGATTAGGTCATACTTTCTCAATATCCTAAACGTATGGTGCTGAAACCCGGGATCAGGAGATCCTCGACAAAAGGAGTGACAGATCCCGATCTGACAGGTACGAAACCCGGGTAACCACTCGCCTTCAGAGAATCGACCGGCTGTGGAGGAAACGAGCCGTCATCCGGTCAGCAGTGACCAGAGTCGCCAACAAGTTGCAAGCTTTACGGGATTCCTTAAATGCAACCGCAGGTGAGCTCGCAAAAATTTTGAATATCCTCGAACTGAAGGAAGCAGTATTGAAGGCAGTTGGCAGTGAGATTGAAGACGGGGTTGATATTGACCACCTTGAAAAAGAGATAGAAAACATAGAGGCCCATCAAGTGTCGATCTGCCGTTTACGTACAAGAGCCACGCTCAAGCTGGATACCCTGCGCACGCCTAACATCGCATTGAATGCTGTGGAACAATTACAGGATCGGGACCAAGGCCATCTAAGGTCAAGAACGATAGCAATCAAACATCAAAGATTAAAGATCCGAAAGTTTGAAGGAGGCCTTCATAACTGGAAACTATTTTGGGATCAGTTTGGAGGGTCTATACACAACAACTGCGACCTTTCTTCAATTTGTAAATTTAGATATTTGACGAGCTACTACCTATTTGGAAAGGCGGAAGACAGCATACGGGGACTGTAGGATTTCCCCCTCCCTCTCATACAGCATTTTGTCATGGGCGGGCCCCCCCCGAAACAAAATCCTGGCCACGTGCCATCGTACAGCCCTGGCTACGTGCCTGGGCTGTATGATGATATCACGATAAATGTCCGCAGCCTGGAAGCACTTGGCATAAAGGCGGAAGAGTGCAGTGCGCTGCTACATGCTGCCGTGACAAAGCAACTTCTTGACGACCTTGTCCTCCGCTACTGCCAGCAAAGAGGCACCGACATCGTGGAAAGCACCGATAGTCTGCAAACGCTTTTGAACCTTCTGAAGTCCGAGATAGAGAGCCGAGAGTGCGTCCTGGAAATAAAGCCCAATCAAGCCAGTCTATCAAAGGCCCAAAGGGAGGACTCGTCAAACCAGGTGTGCAAAGCATACATCACTCCATCAGCAGCAGCTTTAGTTGCAAGGATGGACGCTCAAGATGCCGAATGCTTTTTTTGCGATGCACATGAGAACTTGCTTGACCAATGCAACGTGCGTTCCATCAGCGAGAAAAAAGAAATACTGAAGAGAGATGGCCAATGTTTCAGGTGCTGCAAAAGATATCACGGAGCAAGAGATCGTTGCAATGCCAGATTTCTCCGCTGCGCCAACTGCCAAAGGAGACACATGACTTGCCTCAGCAATCCTGACCTCAAACCCACAAAGGGCAGTCCTCATTCGTCGTCACAGCCAGGCACTTCAGAAGTGTCAGTAACGAGTGCGGTGTCTAACAGCGTCGAAACAGTTCTGTGAACCGCCACAATACGAGCAGAAGGAGAGACTAAACACTGCCCATTTTGGTGCTTACTGTACGGAGGGAGCTAGAGGACATTTGTGACGACCAGGCTTGTCAACGAACCGTCTTGTAGGTTCTAGGAAAAGAGGCTTTGGGCATTAGTCTTCGGCGATACTTCCCTTGGTAATGCGAGTAAACTCCGGAAGGTAGAGATATGGCTCCAAAGCCAATACGATCAGAGACGGGTACAAATTAAGGCTCTCAAAGTTCCTGCCATTTACCATTCTCCTGCGTTCCTCAAGTCTTTTCAGGACAGCTCAAATGTGCACGCTGCAACTTGCCGATCTTTCATGCTCGGTGTTTGAGAGACATATCATTCATATCCTGATCGGAGTGAATTATTACTGAAAGGCTGTCAGGGTCCATCAAGCGACTTGACAGAGATTTGACAGCGGTAGAAAAAATATTTGGTTGAACACTACAAGGTCCAGTACGACAATTACTGGAAGTAAGCTGGCACCAAGGAACTGTTGTGCGGGTAATGACACGACATCAAAGCGACCAGCTTTCCCAGCAACTACAAGAAAGGAATACCCTACTGGTACCTGAGGAGGATGTGCCAGAACCCAAGCAGTCAACCATCAAGAGTGAACCGGTGCCCAAGGATACAGCCCGGAAAGACAGTGACACCTTGCAATAGCCCCGGAAATCGCAGGGAATCTGGCTTCAAAGATGACAGGGAAGCTGCAGACACTCAGCTACTATTGGAGCCTGTCGGTTGCCAGTGCAAGCAGAGTGCCAGTGACTCTAAGGATGACGGTGGAATCCCCGACGGGAACGTCATGAGCGATGATGGGGAGGGGTATGAAGTGACTCCTACTGGTGCTGTTGAAACACGGGGGAAGATTCTGAAACCGCCAACCTTATAAGCCATTTCACAGAGATTCAGAGGAGCAAAGTTGTCAGCGTCGACTAAAAGAAATGTCGAAAACGGGACTGACCCGGACGGTCTATGAGTTCACCTTTGAAGTTTGCATCAGAGAAGGAACATTGAATGGCTCAGTGAATTGAAAGGCGGTGGAACATGTGTATGCAGTAGTTGGCAAAGTTCTTCGGGGCCTCATACAAAAGAGTGTGGAAGGGTCAGGTGGACTACTGGGTGAAAAAATCTCTGCCGAAAACCTCAGACATCTCTTTCAAACATTCTGCTAGAGCAACGGTTACCGCTACTAGGACTTTGTGAGCGTGGCTCAATTTAGGTGCCCTTTTTGAACAGCCTTTGGTGGAGATGCAAGGTATTGCAATGAAAAAGCGTCGCCATGGTAGCTTGGATCACGAATTGTCACCCGATCACAGTCCCAAGTTCCACCCAGGATAACCAATCTACTCCCGTGAAGCGAATGTTCACATGATGCCAGTGGCAAAGGATGTGCAACGTGAAATCATTCAAAATTGGCCGCTTGGAGCTGGAATCTGCACACCCCGCATCCAGGTGGGAGATGTAGCGCTTCCCAGGAACGACCATCGCTTAAGAACATTCCGAGACCTAGCCGTCGTCAACGGGACCTTCCCTGGTTGAGATGAGGAAGTGCGTGCCTGCACTATTCCACTCGGAAGTGGAGTGAAGACCCATCCAGCTTCTTTATTGTCTAGAAATTCTGACAAAAAAGTCAGTCCAACTTTGTTGGTGGGAAATGTTGGAGAATGGACACGGGACGACAACGACAGGGTCACATGCGGGATAAACCCACAATGTTTTTATTTTCATAAAACTGCTACATGTAGATCGGGTCGTGAGTCTTTCTCCAGATCCCAAACAGCAACTGTTCCCCCAATTTTATGCAAGTAATTTCTTAGCACAACGGTGGCCCTTGCTAGCACCATCTTGTCATTGTATGAGCATGTCATGCAGCAGGCTGGAATACATCTGCAATGTCACAGGACCATGCTACAATTCTGCACGGTTCAACCAGACACCAGCAACAACAGACTCCGAAGGTACCGTCTGCACAGGTTTATTCCAGGTCGTTATTCTTCGGATTCCGAGCAATGTACAAATGGAGTGTTCGGCGGGGCCGGTGCAAACAATTGGTGAGCAAGCTGTCCAGTTTACAGCTTGAGCTTGGTCCTACGCCAGTGACGCCTCTTCGCGTTGTAGCTGTGAATGAAAACAATGAGATACTTTAGCTACAGAACCCGCCCAATAAGCGAGTTGCATGCATTGCATGTTATTCACACTTGCAATACATAGCCTGCACGCGACGTCTTTCGCGGTCATGCTAGTTTTACACCGCAGAAGTCGTACTTCAAAGGAACCAGTAAGTAGAAATAACCGACAGTACCCAGCAATGGTGACACTTACAAGCTCGTTAATTATGGCAACCAAAAGGTGTGAACAGTCCCAAACTGGTGCAAGGTAAATACCACAGTGACAACCCGGATTTATAGATAACTAGCGAATGCGTACGAAACCAGCTCCTCACAAAAACGTGCTGCAAAATCGCTGTCCCAACTAAAAATAGCACTTTACCGCATTAACCTTGGAAGCACATTACCACCATTAAAATGATTAAAAACGAATGTTTGAACCATCCAACATGAAAACCGGTCCCGGTTCACGTGCATTGGTCGGAACAGTTTGATGTGCCCCGATTTTAGTGCGAAGAACTCATTTGTTCAAAGGACTTCGCGTAGAGCGATTCAGGGCATAAAATGAATTCGAGGAAGCGACGAGCAATCGTACCGAATGGTGTTTCCAGTCCTCATCCTAATCCACTGAGGGATCGGCCGGTTTTGCTTCAGCTTTTTGGCCAACTTTTGCTTTATCCTGAAGGTCTTGTGGGCAGCCTGAAAAATCGGACCGAGAGCATTGTAATCCGCGGTTTATGCTTACATAAGCTATCCAGCAATAGTTGTACTAGAGTTCTCCAATCGTATTTTCTCAAAATATAAACGTAAATGATCGATAAAACAAAGTTTTAGGGCCACTCACCATTTTGCCGGAGCTAAGATGGCTGATCCAAGAAAAAGAGATAATCTCGTTCCTGGCGGCGGCGATTTAGAGCTTGCTGAGTGGTTTGGTTCGAGGGTTTGTTCAACAAAATCGATCCTTAAAAAGTAATAGCCGAAAGACTAAAACTTCTTATGAAGAGTTTAGTTTTTGTAATAGGAAGATAATCTTAACACATCTTTAGCCGGGATATCGGTATGTTTATAACCAAAGTCGTTTTGTAACTGCTTTAACTTTCTCCAAAACGCAATCGCGAGCCAATCCAATCCACATATGTGAGGATTGGCGCGTAACGTTGGTTGGCGCGTAACCCAGCATGTTCATCATCAGCATTGGGGTTTAAATTATTTCAAACATAACCTTATCAGGACCGCTCCGGTGACACCGGTAACTTGATTCACATCCTAGCTGGACATGAAGACAGAAAGCAACGATCCATTCTTGAACTCTGCTGCAAGAACTCGACGAGATGAACGGACCGACTCAACCGACACACTGCCATCAATCGAAGATCTACTACAACAAGCGTATGAAGTTCATCAAACGATCACAAAAGGTATCCATTATTTTGAACTTTTGAGTTTTATTTTGGTTTACACGGCCACTCAGAACATTCGTCTCGTAAAAAAAGCCATGACCCCGCGACCGTGCTTCTTCTTTACACCGTACCACCTGGCATAATGCCGAAGCCGACCGCTGTAACTCGCTAGAGAGATTCAACTTATTAGAACGGGCGTTTGCCAGTCTGCGGTGCCTCGACCCTCGAGTTAATAAAAATTATATTATTATACCTAGGAATTTCAAAAAGCAAGAGTTTCCGTATGCCGGGATTCGGCAACCTTTTGCAACTGGGGGCCTAATTGCCGCGAAGCAAAGACTGGGCCGAGTGGTATATAAGGGGATGGTGGGGAGCTAATTAAATGCTTCACTCTGCATTTGGCGAGGCTTGTGAAGCTCAGTTTCTGACCTCTTGATTATTGAAGAGCGGTGCAGTTCTGGTTCAAAAGCCCAATGAATCAGACAAACTTTGAACCACTGAGGGTTGCTGTTGATTTGGTCGATGCTGTGTGGACGACAAGATTTTTCCCGAAAATTATGACCACTCACTTGAATAGATCTGCCGTTGTAAGCCTCTGTGTGTGACACACACACAGAGGCTTACTATGGAAGATATGTCCATATGTATGTGTGTGTATGAGAGACAAAACTCTTGAAATTAACAATACAAAGCATGATTGCAAACAATATCTATGAAAGCCATGACAACCTTAATTACTGATTCTCAGTGCATCATTTCGGTGAACACCAGTTGGTAATGAATAATTCAGTGAACGTGCATCGGAAACTAACCCCTAGGCTTGCCGTTTCAAAGGTCATGAGTAAATTACACAAGGTTTGCAGATCATATTTGTTGCACCCTTAGTCATGAAGATAAACAATGTGTGTGGGGGGGCATCTTTTCTGAAAGTCTTTCGGGGGCCATATAATAATGCCTCGCCGCATTTGTCATCCGTCGTATGTAAACATCTTTCAAAGTTCAGTCGCTGCAGCGTCGCAGGGAAGCTTTGATTAATCCAAGGACTGGAGATTGTCAAGACACGATTCCATGGATGGTAAACACACAGCCCATGGATTTATTTAAACAGGTGGTAACTATACTTTGTTTCAGCTTTAGTCTAGACGCAGCCGGCACTACGAGATGATGAAACCAGTCGCACATCATCACAGTGTTTGTCGTGTTTCTGTATATGTTCTATCATTTCTGAACCAATCATTAACAGAAAAGGCCTCGTGACTTGCATTTTTGATGTTGCTTAATTGGTCCCATTACCTTGTAGCATTGGCTGTGTCAGGACTTAAGCTGAAACAAAGTTTAGTCACATTTGCTGAAGTCATGCTGAACTGATTATATTCAACAAAATCACTCGCTTTGTATTTATAGTATATGTAAATTTGTTTTGGTGTGTGAACATGTTTCTTTTCCTCTGTAATGGTTTATGGGCCCTGAAGGTATTAAAATAAACAAACTGACATACTAAAGACCGAAATGGGGGCAAAAAAAGGGGGGGGGGCACAAACGCAACAGCCAGCTTGTGTACTTAATGATGATGTCTTCAAACATAAACAGACCTCTTCTTTTTCCTTCTTTTTTTCATCAATGTAGGATTGCACAAGCAAGTGACATCCTTGAGTCAGTTGCTTGCACAGAAGGAGCAGGAGTGAGTTGTTTAATTCAATTCATTTCATGTTCTTTTTTTTTTTTTTTTGCTTTCACGAATAATAGTGTGAGTCTCTTTGCAATGGCAGGGTGAAGAATACATCATGTCAGCGTTGCAGTTCTGTCAAAGACACATTTGAAAAATACAAGGCAAGCCATCAACAAATTGTTGCAAAGCAGGAAACTAAAATTGAACTTTTGGGTAAGTGTTTCGCCTGGAGCATAAGCTCAGTGCAGTTTTTATTTGGCGATGTTTTAGAATTACATATTCAACATACTACTAATCACTTAAGATTAGCAGGCTGAAAAAAGAACAGAAAATGTTGTTATCCTATACTTTACCTTAACAATGTAATTACATGCTCAACAATCAAGAAATGTTATAAACCAAGCAGTCTGTACTTATGGCCTTTAATTACTACTAGTACTTTAATGGCAAATGCAAAGTATGGCAATGACTGAAGAAAGGATGATTGAATAGATCAACAGATCAATGAATTAGGTACATTTGAAAAACTCCAAGCATGAGAAAGTAAACACAGGTCGTGCAACTAACAGAATATCCTTGTGACCTTCTCCCTTCTTTTCTTAATCTCTTGATCTCTAAGAAATTTGAATCATTCCATCTTTTAATACAAGGATCCTGTTCCTTGGTATTACAAAATCTTAGACATGCCATTCTTTTTTTCTTTTTTTTTTCAGAGCAGCGTTTGTTGGCTTTTGAGAAAGATCAACGAGAGAGGTATGTTTATACACATAAAATAGCACTCTTTCCTTGGTGACCTGAATTTATAGTTAATTCTGTGCAAATAGCGCTATTTCTGACCCCTAGGGTTTGGTACCGTAAGTTGTATAGCAAGCAACGTTATGACTTTCACAGTTGTTCTTGACTGACATTTACTAACTTTACAGTATTTACATATAACCCCTGTTGGTACCTGCATATTAATACATTTTAAGATAAAAGTTACTTTACAAAAATATATATTTTTTAAATTACCACAGGTTCACTTTTCTTTGCAAAAAAAGCATCTTACATTCTTACATGCACTTGGAGTACTCATAGCAAAAATACTGAAGGAAAGGTAATAAAATAAGGTCTTACTATAAACAAGTTGTGTAAAATAATAAAGGAGGAGTGTAGAAAGGCTCTAAGGCTGATCTAGTAAAATATTTTGTTTTGTACATTGACTTTCCTATACATGTTTGCAAGTACCTACACTTCAAAAGCTGGTCTGGCCACTGTGGATGGAAAATGCTATGTTGGGGTACCAGTGTGGTAAACGTGGGCTTGACTATCAGACAATCTACACACAGCAGCGGCAAGTTGGTCCCGTCTACAGTCACTAAATGAGCTACCGTAAAATACCGGGCAAGCGCCCACTCAAATTTTGGAGATAATCGCAAAAAAATGGGGGATGGGCGCTTGTCCGGTCATCAATTTTACATATAAATGTACTGTACGTATTTCCTCAGATCTCACAAATTTGGTAATGGGCGCTTAATGTGGAATGAGCGGATGCGCGGTATTTTACGGTATGCTTAGAGTATTGGCAGTTTGTTCCCCGATCTGCTCGTGGGTGCCGCCATTTTGGTGCTTAGAGTAGAGCAGACGCAACTGCCGATCATCACAATTAAAAAATGTGGCTTCCTCAGCTTTGAATACTGTGCTACTAGGAAGCTCAGGTGGTACTCTTTTGCTCTGTCACAAACTGTTTTAACATCTCTGGAGGACGAAAAACCATTTCCTGCGATTTCGGATAAAGCTGCAGAAAATTAGCAACCATGATTTTAAACATCAAGGTGACTTAAGTGTCGTTACTTTGAAGCCTAGCTTATTTAGTGGCTCTGGTCCCGCCCAGAGGCTGCACTTGCAACTGTGTACAGAATGATTAAACAGCAAGCGCTGCATTTTCAATGGAACCGTCAACCTGATTCTACGCAGGAGCACAGCCAGCAGGCATGGAAGCTCCACCAGTGCAGTCTACAAGAACTTCTCCTGCATGGAAGAGAGCAAACTCCACGCGATGGATGGCAGCAGCATCCTAGTCTGGGAGTCCGAAGACGAGTCACCCGTCAGTGCCAGCCGGAACTTCGTGCCCCCTTCCCCACCGTGCTTTCGGGAGCGCAGTGGACCTCTCGTGCCTCCTTCTACGCGTGCCCGTTCCTCCCCCAACCCTTCACGCGCTAAAGTCAAAGCCGAACTGCAGGAATCGCCTAGCTTGCTTGCGAAGGTGAACAGCCTTCTACCAGTGAACGCAGAAGCAGTGAAGGCCGAAGTGGGAGGTAGCACAGATACCGATGCCGTCGCTAAAACCACGAAAACCGAGCATCTTGCTAACGATGCCTCTACCCGTACAGTGAACGCCGGGGTTCGGGATCATAGTCCCGACCTTGAGCTTCCGACGGTCGACCCCGGGCGCTCTTCGTGTACGCCACCTAGAGTGCCGGAGCACTCTGTGACGAAACCGGCGGAGGAAAATTCAAGGACTGCGGCATCTCCGAGCTTGTTGCAGATCCTGCTGCAGTCTCCGGTGCGTTCGGAGCAGCCTAGTACTCCCCGCCCGCCTGGCAAAGAACGGCAGAGTGCGGCGGTCGGCGAAAGGGTAGTTGCAGCTGGAGCGGTGCCGAAACCAACCGTGGACCGGGATTATGACCCTTCCCAGAGCCTCCTAAGGCCTCTGGCATCTGTGTGCACCCCCAAAATCGAAAAAAGCCCGGTTGGAATGGGTGGCGACGAGGTTCCAACCGGTTGCGTTTCGGTCGACCTGACATTCTCGACGCAGGAGAGTGACAAGTCGTCTCCGCGGCCCGCAGCAGCATCGTCGGCGGGCGAGTCGGCCCCCGATAAACTGTCGCTCGCGGGAAAACGCCTTTTTCCGGGGGCCGAATGCCGCAGGGGTCCCGGGCAGGTCGCAGGGAGCTGCAAGCCCTCACCACCTCGAAAGAGGAAGAAGCAGACCAAGTTGTCCGACAGGTGATTGCGATACTCTCGTTTCGTTTATTTCTTTGACTCAGAAACTTAGTTTGTTTTCCGGTTAGAAACCGCTCTTTAGTTTCCTTCTCTTTGTTCCTTCTCACGTTGTAAATAGAGATAGGAAAATACCTCCTAGATAATAAGTTTGTTGTGCAAGACCAATAGTTCTCAAACGGAAGTCTGTGAAGGCATTCTAGGGGTCTGTGAAGCCCTGCCTCATCAGTCAAGCCCGGCAATAAACATTGTCTTTTTTCAAATTGAAAAGAAACGCTCCAATAGAAACGCTCCAATTTTCGAGTGAGTTTTCTCGTCTGTATGTCGATGAGAGAAGTCTACTTCACACAGCTTTTAGTTGTATCCATTTTTAAAATCATTATTATAATTATTCCTCTCCCTTCCCCTCACCACGAACAAAGTCCTCCATCATCTCTGCCGAACCGATTCACAAGGGGTCCACGGAACATGAGTGGTTGAGAACCACTGTGTTAAACTCTCTACGTCACCTCTGGGAGGTCGGCGCAGGGGACAAACTGGACACGAGTGCTGTGTCAGCATTGAGCTGCGACTCGTTGTCTCGCCGACGAAACATAGCCTCAGCCGAATGCTGACGTGGCGCTTCGGTTCACTCTGTTCCCTGCAACGTTTCCCTGTATGTCACTTGGAGAATGCAACACTATTGTCTTATTTATCTAGAACGTGCTGGATTCAGGGCCTCCATCCATTCAATACCTTAGAGAGGTACTGATTTGTCTGGCGTCACACTCCGCTCAAGGAGGAGGAGGAAAGAAGGAGGGAGAGGAGGTTTGGAGAGGTAGAAAGAAGAAAGGGGAGGAGGAATAGAGAGAGAGAAGAGGAGGGGGTGAGGAGAAAACTGGGAAGGGGCCCCCGGAAAATTTGTTGGGAAAAAAAAAGAAGGGGAGTTGCGGTCGGGGAGGTCCCCCGGCGATTTTTTTTTTTTGTGGGTAGTTTGTTGTGGGGAAGCAGACGACGACTTCCAGAAGCAATGAGCGTGCGCTCTTCACATTGCGGCTATTTCTCAGGTTTTCAAGAACGTACTAGAATTAATGGTTTTGATTTCGTAATCGTGAATTATAGTTTTTTTGCGAAACTGGGTCAATCCTGGGTAAAATTGGTTTCCCAAACTTATCTTAAAGGGATTGTTCGTATTCTGCTGACAGCTCGCCACGTTGCACTGTTAGCATTTGGAATCTGGGTTGTATTTCACAACGTGAATTATAGTTTTTTTTTCGGGACTGGGTCAATCCTGGGTAAAAATTTGTTTCCCAAACTTATGTGAAAGGGACTGTCCTTATTTTGCTCACAAATAGCCACGGTGCGCTGAGCCGAGGGTATTAAATATATTAACCCAATTAATTATCTGTAAAAGCGACCAGTGTTTAGTCAAACATCCAGAAACAGAGTTTCTAAACCTGCTAGAACGCCCTAAGCACGTGAAAAGAAGATATCGCATTCCAAATCGTCTGCTTCCCCACAACGAAGTACCCACAAAAAATCACCGGGGGACGTCTCCAACCCCAAGTTCCTTCTTTTTTTTTTTCCACAACAAACTTTCAGGGGGCTTTTTCACAGTTGTTCCTCCTCACCCCCTCCTCCTCTCTCTCTCTATTCCTCCTCTACTTCCTTCTTTCCTCCTCTCCGATCCTTCTCTCCCTCCTTCTTTCCTCCTCCTCCTCGAGCGGAGTGCGACGCCAGACGAATCCGTACCCTTAGAGATTGCACCCTCCCTGCTTCCATGCCATCAAAAGCCACATCCGACCTGCTATCCCCAAATTTCGATGGATGTTTCCCGCATCTTCCAGTTTCGTTGGGAATGCGCGCAGTAGGCCTCCAAGCACACAGGGCTCTACCTTCAAGAGCTCGATAAAGAAATTTCTGGAAGTTTTCGAGGGCGACATTTCGCCAATGGGCGAAAGTATCGTAGTAAAGTGCTGGCTGCCTTTTTCAGTCTTATTTTCAAGTTACAATGTATGTATAGAAAAGAGCGAACGGGCTGAAAAAATTTTTTGGAGCCGTTTGATTTCCGAATTTGCTTATCCTTGCGCTCAACAGAGGAAAAAGGACTGTGAGAGGACTTGGGAATTTGGAAATGTGGCCACTTGGCAGGTGTGTTGCATGGTGCATCAGAGGTAGTTTCTCGAATCTTGACCGCAGTATACTTGTTGCAGGTACTTCCTTGCAGTGAACCGACACAGTCCATTCACTCGTAACCTGGCGAGGCGAAAAGAGCTTTCGCAGACAAAGCTCGGCCAGCGTTCGGAGGCTGAAGTGTGCCGAGAGTCGAAGGAGGACTTGGATGAGACGTACCTGCCTGTGGGGACCCTAGAAATTTCCGATACGCCGGTTCCTGATGCTCTACCTGCTACCGATGCTTTGCCGGTTCTGGATATTGTCTCAAAGGGAGAGGAAGGTGAGCGATAGAAAGAGGGGAAAAGGCTTTGTCCACAAAAGCGAAATTCGCCTACGTTGCGTCAGGGTCTTCCCCAGAAATGTTTGAGATCTTTACATCTGACAATTTCCGGGGTGTTGTAGGGGGAGAAGGAGGGGTGGTTGTTGGGGTTTTTGGTGTACTTGGTGCCTTTTCTGTCTTATGGCAGAGATTTGGTATCGTGGGGATTGTATGCAGTTCTGTTTTGTAGTGCCACGCAGGTCACCCAAACAGAACAATCCGGGACACTGTGCATTTTCGAAGTCAACGTCAGTTTGTCCAGTGTAGGCAAAATGCTTCTCTAGAGCCAGCCCATCATACTTGCGTCGCTTACGCCTCCTGGAAGGATTTGAAGTAACAAGTGTTAATGTCCTGTGATATTTTAAGGAGAAGGTAGCTTGTACGTAACAAGCATTCTGGGAGGGGGATAAGAAAAGCAGTATTACATGGAGAATTGATGAATTGTGGTTCATATTCAGTGCCTCACAAGTGTGTGACTGACTGCAGTTGCGTGTTATTTTTGGACAAAGCCAGTAAAACAAAATCACTGGGACAGTATATGTACAAAGTGAGCAAAAACACTCCATCTGCCCTTTTGCTATGTCTGCAGTCTCCACAATTATGATTATATCTTGATTAGTTAAGTTTGAGTTCGAGCCCTGGTTTGGACCAGTACGTCCCTGGAAACTGGCAGGTGCTCCAAATAAGCATAGTCAGACTGTTCCCTTTTGTTTATATTATGACTGTAGATGTGGCTCCATTTCAGATTTCTTCTTAGCTGTTTCTCAGAGTTGTGCTTTTCATGAAATTTGAACTGTTTAACTACAGTGCAACCCACTTATAACAATGATGAAAAAACCCGAAATTTCAATTGTTATAACCGATTATCGTTGTACCTAGACTAGAAGCTGATCATTGTCTAGAAACTCTGGAGACTGATCGTTATAAGCGGTACATTGTTATATGTGGTATCATTATAAGTGGGTTGCATTGTAGTAACTCATCAGTAGCAGTATAGCAGGTTGCATTCCTGTCTGGCTACAGAAGGTGCAGGCCCCCTTGATATGCTCTAAATTTAGTAAAATTTATGTGACACATTTTATTAAAGAGATAATAAGGAACTAGCAAAAACAGAATGTTGTCTACTGTCTGTTTTCTTTTTGCCCGTCTTATATCGTACCACTCAATCTCTTTTTGTTTTATTATTTCACTAGTAGTATATTGAGACCTGTCTGTTTTTTCTGTTACTTCTGCTCTTCAAAAAAAAACCCAGTCTCAGGGTAAACGACGAAATAGTATATTCATGTCAGTTACGCCTGTTTCTCGTTTTCTTTTATAATAACGCTCGAGAAAATTAGTTTGATTGTTTTTTTCTCTGCATTGCCGTCGCTTTTCCAGCGGGGTTATCATTACAAATAACTCGTTAAAAAGCAAAGTTCCCATGTTAGGAGTAAGTTTGTTTCTTTAAAATAACACTGACAGGTCAAAATCTTTTTTTTTTTCTTTTTTATTATCTGAAACAATTGTGAAAGATGCCTGGACATTACCCTCAAAATTCGAAACTTGAGAACTCGGTATTTGTGAAGTAAAAAAAACAATTTCCGAAAGCCGAATTTGAAATTCTCGTGCTATCCACGCCAGTACAGTGACGTCAAAGATTGAGTCGTCTTGCAACTCGACTTTCTCTCGTACCTCCGTGTCGTGTTCACCCGCGTCCCGCAATCAACCGCTCCGTGTGTGCCACCTATCGCTGTGAGCAGACAACGCTTCACTTTCGAGTTTGAAGTTCTTTTAGGGCTCTTTCAGCGATCTCAAATTTTTTGAAGCAGTATGAGGTCCAAGAGAACGCACAGTGGACTTTTGCGAGCGATGTGAAGGGCCATGTCACGCCGGTTCTGCGTGAAAGGCTGCCACGGCGGAGTCACAATCAGAACTACAGTATACAGACACCAAACCCAGTTGTACCGTTTGGCTATTTCCTTTTTGAAGTCTGAGAGGTCGTCAGGCACCTAAAAAAGAGAACTTTGTCCGAATCCCCAACTCACCGATCATCCTCAGTGCTACATGCATCAAGCGCCGCCATGTTTTCAGAGGGAGGATAAAAAGCCAGGAGCCAACGTCTCTCCAGACTGCAATTTTCGGTATTTCAAAAAGAAGTAGTGCATTAGTGCATTCGCAATTGCATTCAAAAACATGTTTTACAAATGCCGTTATTAAATATTATAGAAATGTCGCTTACAACGCTTCTAAATTTTATAATCGATTATCACAAATAAAAAGAAGTGGGGAGGTGAGGATCAGGAGAGAAAAACGCCAAAAATAAAAAGGCGCGCGCGCACGTGAGAAAGTTTTTTTTTTTTTCGTTCTGGTATTTTTTGCATGTCTTTGACCACAACTTGCATCGTTTTCGACAACAATTACGATTTTTGTAGTGTTAGTGCCCCTTTCAACCTGATTTCTTTTTTTATTTCAGCAGCACTAGACAAAGACAAAGAAAAAGTGGCTCAAACCAGTGGCAATGTTGATGATCCTTCAGAGTAAGTTGATTTGCACAGGGTATCGAAGAAACACTGACATCCCCCAAATTTTTTTTTTTTATTATTATTTTTTACCAGGCGATTTAATATGGCGTCGGGAGACTTTACAATCAATGTCTTGTTACAGAGTCGCATGTATTTTTAATAAATGTGAAAACTCAACTGCTCGAAACCGCAACACGAGCACGGAAGCTCATGGCCGAAAATCACATGGCTGCACCCAATCGCATTTCTTGTCTCCGCATCTCCTGCATGTGAAGCTGACGACGAAGTTGTGTGCACCATTTGCCAATGTGGATGCTTGGGCTAGTTGGTGATTCATGCTTGGATGGAACAGCACGGATATACAGCCACACTGAGTGTGACTGTATATCCATGCTGTTCCATCCAAGCACCATTTGTCGTGCAATTGTTTCGCACTTGTATCTTTTCCGCTCAATGTTCTGCGCTTAAAAAAAAAATGCATTTTACGCAAAAAAAGAATTTTTTTTAGAGCAAGAGTAACAGCGCGAGACGCGGTTTAGTTGGTAGTCACCTTCTTTCCACTTGTTTTTTCTCAGCATTTCGGGTGGGTGGAGGAGAGGTGGATCGACTCGGCCGTCTTGTTGAGGTGGAGTGTATGACCATTCCGTGACATCACGGACTTTGTGCGCAGAATTTAAAATAAATCTTGCGCCGTCAATATTGCTTTAAAAAAAAAAAAAAATTTGCTTAAAATTTATTTCTTAACACGCGTGTCCCAACCAGACTGTCTAAAAAAAAACTTTTTTTCTTTTCAGTGTCCCTTTAAGCTCATTAAAGTGTTTTTTTCTTCCAAACGTTTCATTTGCGATAAAATAGACACGAGGCATGCTGATATGTTTCTCAAACTGTGCATTAGTGGTCCATTTTGTCTAATAAACTTTTGAAAGTGCAACTCTGGCTCTCTAAAAGAAGAGTTAGAATGATTCTCGACAAACAGATTGTAACCTAAAAAGTCTAAAGGATTGTTCAAGAGAGGTTGTGTTAGACTTCGAAATTCTATGACCTGAATGTGGTTGTTTAAGTACACCCTCGAGAAACCTTTCACATCACATGGCCACGATGTTGACTTTTAGGGTATATTTAATGGCGTAGGGATAAGAAGTGACTACTGAGACCTTGCAGTGTGACACCGATGAAAAGTGACCTCCTGATCCAAGTGACTATTTTATGTTGCCAGAGAACATACATCGCATGCCTGTGTCTTTTTGATGTTGAATGTAGCGAGGAAAAGGTAGCTTTCAGTATTCACCCAACAGAGTAAATAGATCAGGAGCAATGCAGAGAGCAAGTTCATCTGCTTCTTTGCAGGGGTTGTAGAGACAGAATGCCAAGCTTTGATTGGCCCTAATTGAAGACAGCTTGCTTTGAGGTCTACCCGCTATCCTTCAATCAGAGAGAATCAGAACTCGGCATTCTGGCGTCACCACAACCCCTGCAAAAGAAGCAGACAAACTTACGAGCCACAGACTGGACAGTCTTCGTTTCAATCAAAGAGTAACAGGCTACAATCATTACAATCCTTCTTTCCGTCTGTTCACGCAGGGTGGCTCACAAGTTCCACGGAACCCCGGTGCGTGGACGAGAGGCGCGCCAGCGTCTGCCGGCACACGAGTGCAAAGACTGCCAGGATGTGAGCCCACTCTCTTCATGGCTCTGTGCCTTTTGAGGTCAATGAAAGACCCCCTCTCACGGCGTGCCTTTCTCTTCCATTTCTTTATGTCCTCTCCCAGCTCCTTCTCTTTCTTCGTCACCAGCAGCGTAAACTGCTCACAGTGTTGCCAGAGATAACCGGTGATAGTAAAAGTACGCAGATTGCAAGTCTTTCTGCTTCTCTTGCAGGGGTTGTGGTGACGTCAAAACGCCGAGTTCTCAAAGCAAGCTGCCTTAAGGTCTACCCACTATCCTTCAATCAGAGCTCGGTGTTTTGACATAATCACAATCCCTGCAAAAGAAGCAGATGAACTTGCGCTCCGCATTGATTTTGGCCAGCCAAAGTATGCTTGTGGTTCTGGTATATTAGCATTTGAGGTACCGGGACATAGCAAAGATGCTGATCTAGTAAAGATGGTATGCCTGGAAAAATATAATTGTGCTGTCGCGAGGTGTTATTTCACCTCCTGGGGCCCCATGCTGCATGGTGGGACAAAGCAAGACGTTGAGACAAACTATGTTGTCTGCTGCAATTGGTCATCGCAGCAGACGGTATTGTCCCGGTTTCGCCATGTATCATAGGGCCCCTGCAATCAACTGGACTGGCGGTGAGATTGACACATGCTTCATAAGAGCAATTTTAGAGATCAGTCTACTTTCACGCAAACTTTTATGAAAATTTCTTTCAAACCTATCTTAAGCTTTGCCTGTGCGCATTCTTGCACATTCTATAGAATTGCATACTTTAAGAAAAAATAGAAATTTAAATTCCAATCTGGTACATCATTTTTTTTATTTTAAAGACTGTGCTACTCTTGTCCACAGCCTCGTGATGATCAGAAACAAGGGGATATTGCTTCACGCGCTGCCGGTTTTCGTGAATTACCGGTTCAATGTTCAAACGTTGCAACTGACCACAAGAATCATTTAAAGAATTTGCTATAATTCTTGCCCTTTGGATGCAAAGACTTCAGTTGTTTGTTATCGGTCATCTACCATGTATGTACTTAGAGGTGTTCAAATTGAATTCCCTGCATCCAAACACTAAAGGCTGGTTCGCCCACTTGCGACCGATTATGACCATGTTCCTTTAAAGCACCTAAAATATTGTCTAGTCTTTCTTAAAATATCTTTTGACAAGAGAGAACACAAATTGCCATCTACCGGGTGGCCATGGAACTCTTGGCATTTCCGTGAATTTTTCATTTTTTTCCGCGCATTATTTTTTCCTGGGTCGAAAAGCTTTAGACAATGTCAAAAACAATTATTTCTTGTAGCTAGTATGTACATTTGATATCGCAAATAACGGAAAGGCTTTGCTCTAGCGAAATGCAGTTCCAGCGTCACCTCATAGATGATGCTGGCATGACAGCGTGCTCTCTCCTCGTAAGAGATCACAAGAACTCGGTCGTAGGCAAACGCAAGTGTGCAAACAGGCCTTTAGGTGCACCCGCATCATATGTCCAGCGTGCTGGTCGCACTTTAAATGTGCTTATTGGCAGTCAGTGATGTGAAGGAGTGCGCACTGTTGTGTCTAGTTCTACGAGCGGGCGGGACATGGCCGGCGTCAGGAGCTGTTGAAGAAGTGCTCTCGACACAGAGCTCTGCACGCACCGCCGCCAACGCCGGACAACTTCTGGGAGCTGGACTTTCCAGACACGCAGGAGTGCAGAGCCAGAGGTAATGTCCTGATTTCTCGACGTGGAAGTTCCTGTAGGCTGGTTCAGACGTTTCCGTCTGGTCGACTGCGTTACGACTTCCGGTGGCTGCCAGTAGTAGAACATCATATGAATGCGCGAAGAGCCGCCCTTTATTTTCAAAGTTTGGGACTAACTTTTCAGGTGCGGCCCATACACAAATAAAAACAAAATAGTTTTGGATGTGCGTAAAAAAATTGATGTACTGACGATCACACGCGGCGGTCTCGAGCGCCTTTATTTCGGTCTCAATCATTGCAGCCCGCAGTATCCTCGGCGCTCGAGTCTGATCGGCATTGACAGTGGCCAGATTTGCACTTTAGAGTTGTTCAGTGAGTGCCTTCTTGGGGTTTGCATTAGCCATTCATTCTGTAGAAGTTTGCTGCTCGACATTGGCTTCCGTTTCGCCGCCGATGTCAAGCGGCTGCAGTGTACCAGTGAGCCCGCCTGAGACCGCACCCTTTATCCAGCACCGTATGCAAATCTTGTCGACGCCGTATTTGCAACTTGTTGCATGTCTACCGCAGAGTCGTATATAGAAAGAGTTTGATCAGTAGGAGGAAGAGGCAGAGCCAGGGCACGCACGAGACACATATAGAAGGTTCGAAGTCACGTTCGGCCAACTAGAAGCCGAAAATGATCCCCTAGCGGTGGTAGCGAGAAACACTTTAAGAAGTGTGTAAAGGTTCAATGGAGTAACTTTTCATGGTTGAAAATATAGCGCACGTGATGCTTGAAATATGATTGTGCAAAAAGATAAGAATCGAATGTTCCGCTCGAACTCTGTTTCGCTCAATCGGAGTGTGACCGCTTGGACAGAATTTTACCGGCCCTCAGCACCTGGCGTACGGATCACGTCGCTCATTCTCCAAGATTTTGATTTTGCATGACCGCGATCGAAAAATTTTAAGTGCATCACATTTTCCGCCACCAAGTGTTACTCCGACACATTAATAATTTTGTTCCTCGCAACCACCACCAGGCTATTGTTCGCGGCTTCTGGCTGGCTATATTCGAATCTGTGAAGACGCCCTGGAAGACGCTCGGTCTGCTCTCTGCCCATGGCGCTTCCTCATTTGCCTCCTATACTTCCCAATGAATAGGCTAACTCCTTCTATGTACGGCTTCAGTGTACCGCACTCTAGGGCATTAGTGACTGCTCGAAAGTATACTTTGCCACTGCTCTCGGGTTACGGGGTCTGCATAATCCAATTTTGCAGAACAAAATATTCACGAAACCCGACGGCAACATTTTGAAACACAAACATACCGCCATGTGGGCCGAAGGCAACCGTGGATGATATGAAAGTGATTAGAGGGGCTGCTTTTCGAAGCTTTACTCCCGTTATCTTTTTTTATCTGCACTTCCAAACACAGCAGATGAAAAGCACGAGCTGAGGTGCATACTTGACGAGGTAAAGGTGGCAGAGTGGAGACGCGGAGCGTGCGCCACACTGTATATTGTGCTTCCTGTTGTGATGAACGCAACACTTCCAGCTGTGGGCCATAACAAACGGGATCAACCCCCTGGCTTATTCCGGCAATCCAATGCAGATGTCTTGATCTCAGGTCACTTGACAATAGATGAGCACTTTACACTTTCGTCAAGTCACATCGAAGTATGATAGCATGGCGTGACAACAGATAGCTACGTGTGTATCATGCTCTACACAAAAGACCAATAATACTACATCTCCCTTTCTCGAGTCAGCCACAACAGTCGCAAAGAAAAAATCATAAACAATTGAATCGAAAAGTTCATTACGGGACATTCACACGAATTAAGAAATGACTTTCTTAAATCAGTCACGCAGCATTCACAACAAACAAAACCAAACATGCTGTATTAAGACAAACATCAAACACACTTTGCATTGAAAACATACTTGAATCAACTATGCTGATTTCAGAAAAAACATGATTCAAATACGATGTCACTCAGGCTGGCGTACTGCCCGGCCAGATCGCGTCACGTAATCCAGAGGGACCGCAGGCGACGAAACACTAGACTCTTGTCCTTGAGTCTGACTGTTTGGGCCAATCGAAAAACCGGGAGGACTCGGACAATTTGCAATTGGGCAGCTGTCAGTTTCCCCCTCTGGAAACTCATAGCTACAGTCACTAGTTTCCACGCTTTCTCTGTCCTTTTCTAATGAGATTAGGGCTCTTCGGTTCCGTTTGTTTCGGACCGCATTGTCCATCTCCACTGCATATGAGCGCAGCCGACTGGTCAGCTGAAGGTCCACGCCCTTCCGTCTGCACTCTTTCACCTACTAGACTTCGTCACGAGACTCCAACTAAGGCAGATGATGCACCGCATGGCGGCCATTGTAGGAGCAGCGTTGCATGTCCCTAAGGAGCGCGTATTTCCGACGGACCTCCTTTGGACGTGGGGTTCTCGGCGCTAGTTTTTTTGGGTAGAGTTGAAGCGTGGTACGGAGCCGCCGACCCTTGAGCAGCTCCGCAGGTGTGCTGCCTAGTTGTCCCGGGGTGTCCCTGTAGACTAACAAAGCCATATAGGGATCGTTAGACTTTAACTACCGTCTTTTAACAGTTTTCAGCATTTTTTTAACTTCGCCGTTTGCCTGTGAAAACCTCGGGCTCCACATAACACCTCTAAGCTGCTGGAATTCTTGGCTGACGAATGGTTTGCCATTATCCCTTACAGGAACCTCTGGTATGCCATGTCTCGAAAATATGCTTTTAAGCTGTTCTACAACATGGGAACTAGTGAGGGATTGCAGGCGGCACAGTCCTGGAAAGCAGGAAAAGTAATTTACCACCAAGTACATAGTCATTTTTTTTTTTCATGTGGAAGACGTCTGCTGCGATCCTTTCCGATGGCCTAGACGGAGTCTTAGTTGGCATCATTGGCTCTGCCGGCTGGTCATGATACTCTCCACAGACACGGCAGTTTGTGACAACTGAGGCAAGCTGAGAGCTTAGGCCGGGCCACTACACGGACTCTAGTGCTCTCGCCCTGCACCGGACAATACCTTGATGCCCTTCGTAAGGCTGTTTTAACCCCTTGCTTCTTTCCCTCATGCTTCGTGCTGAATCGGCACTTATCCTTGTTTAAGGTTACACCAGCTTTGGAAAGGTGCTCGAGAAAGCGATGCAGACACTCATTAGGTTTCGCACCCCCGGGATTCAATCAAGGATTTCGCTCATTCGCTTCTGGAAATACTCGGGAGCTGAGGTTATACCAAACGGCAACCGTTCAAAACAGTAACGCCCGTACAGCGTGATGAATGTAGTTGTCGTCTCGCATTCTTTTGCCAACCTCACTTGACGGAAACCTGAGCTTGCATCTAGTTTGGAAAACACAGCTGCTCCACTGCGCAACGCTATCGTATCATCAATAGACCTTATGCGAAATTGCTTTGTGGTCTGACAACACTGAGAGTGTCGCCGTTTTAATGTTGGCAAGCTCTGTCGGTACCGAAGCATGGCGGAGGCATCGGAGACAGTCGCACAAGCAATGTGCGATTGCGCAGCAACTGTTTTCCGCCTTCTGACCATGTTATGTGGAGGAGCAATTTAAACAACCTACTGCAACTGTCTGAAAAAACTCTCAGAGGCCTCTGCACGCTGGCGACAACCGTCGAAGGAGCGGACCAAGCCCTACGCCTTCGCTGTGGAAGCTTGTTGTCGCCAGCGTGTGCACAGGCCTCCGAACGTCATGCGTTTCATCTTTGAGAACGCTTTTAATTCTTTTTTCGATGTGAATACGCTTGAAATTGTACTGTTTAGCGGTATACTCTCCACGCAAATACATAACTCAAAATAAGTTTTTTTTTAGTTCTTACTGGGCGGAGGTTTTTTTTGATGGACTCTGTGTTCTTCTAAAAGAAACTGTGCCCAGGACAATATTTTGCAAGCTTTGCAAAGGGCTAAAACTGGTTTTAGATAGCATTGAACTCAAGCACAGATAACGGATGTTGCGCTATTAATGAAGATTTGTTCAATTCTGGCAGAATAACTGCAGTGACTTTCTCAAAACTACCCCCGAGCTTCTTTGCACAAAACAAAAATTCTACCTCGGCTGCGACAAAAAGAAAGAAAAAGAAAAGGAGGTTGTAAAATGGAGTTAGCACTACCCGTGTTGCTTCATTCGGTGTCCGCAAAGTAAATTTTCGACGACGCCGACATCGAAGTTTTAGCCACTGCGATGAACCTAACCTACACCGTGATCTAACCATACCACTGTTAACCATACGCATCTTTAATTATGGTTGGTGGCGTAGATTATAAAAACTGCCAACTTTTTGCCTCGCTTAACAGCCTTGGTCTCGTCCGCATGCACTGAGCTGCTTGCGCATCAAGAAAAAGGCCCAGGCCGACACTACAACGCACATAAATTATAAAAAAAAATAAGGTCGTAAACAAATTTGGTACAACTTATAAAAAAAGATTAGGGCTCAGTTCAATAGTTGTAAATGGCTTCACGCCGCGCGATAACGTCCGCATGTTTCTTCGCGTTGTCATTGATTGTTTTTGTCAAAAGCTGCGTCTCAAGTGACATAAAAATAAGCATAAAAGGTGAACCCTGTATACGTTTGCGTTCACGTCATGCATGAATCGAAGGTTTATCGCTGCATCCGCGGCGGAACGCAGCAATCATTGGCATCGCATCTCTCGCACGAAGCGCGGTCACTTGCTTACATGGGGTTTTTGCCGGTCGGGTCTCTAATTTCGTTTTCCCGCCACTAACAAGATGGCGGACGTAGTTCTCGGCGCGCTACTAGATGGCGCTCTAAATTTCACATATGGCCTATTGTGGGAAGAATGTAACGCTTTCATCTTGAAGTGGCCAAATTGGCCCCTTCATTTATTTACACGCCTGGAAGGAGTAGTAGCTGGACCGGGAGCTCTGCCGTTGATAAGAGGAGCCAGATGGTATCGATGTTCCCTCTCGAGCTAGCCGGCCTTGAGTCGTGAGTGCCCACGCGGCGCAAGGTGCTAACGTGGCTCGTTTCACGAGCCACATTGTTATTGTCGTCGCCGCTTAGCCGCTATAAGTCTTCCCCCCCTAGTGAAGCAGATGTTTGTTTGCTCCACGTAGGAGGGGTTTTTGTTCAGTTGAGTCAGGTCCACAAAAATTCGTATATCTCCCAATGGTTTTAAAACCAGTACTATGGCAGCACACCAGTCAGTTGGGCCGTCAACTTTTCTGATGACCCTGTTCGACACCATTTTGTTGTGTTTTTTTGTTACCTCTTCTCGTAATAGGATGGGAATATGACGGGCGGTGTGAATGGCGTAAGGCACACTGTCTGGTTTAAGATGCAGTATTCGCCTTTCATGGTCCCAAGACCGTTGAACAACGAAGAAAGCCCGTTTCCACCAAGACTTGGTCGACAAACATGACTATTCCTAGTGCTTCGATGGCTGACTAGCCTATGATGACAGACTTAAGGGATTAAACTACAAAAACTGTTTGTTAAGTGGAATTACGCTTCCACCAAATGTTGGCAGCAAACTGTCCTTTCTCCTTCAACTCCTCACTGCCTGGCCCTACTCAAGCAACACTAGAACTTTCTAGCTTCTCAGGTCTCCCCTCTTTCTCGAACCCTCGTTCGTGCAACCGGACACAGCCATTCTCCCCCTAGAAGATTAGCCCGTCGCTGAAAACTCGAACAAAATTTCAAAAGTTGCTTTTCCCACCCTGTTCAGCCCTAAGCTGACAGTGTTGTGGAAGCTACGTGCTCCTTGGGCCAGCCACACGCTCGTCACCCCACGGGTACTTCGGACGGCTCGGTTGTAACGCGCTGACGCTGCGTTATGTGTGTGACCTCACGACAAAGATTAGACGCTGCAACCAACATGTTTGATGGTCTTTAAAAAGCACGGCGGAGGCTTGGGTAATTGCAACGCTGACCACACCACCAAGGGCAAACCTCATAATCACGCCTGCCTTCCTACTCCACGAATGCAAGAAATCTTTTCTTTCTGTTTTTTGTTTGCGCCGGATATCCCATGACGCATCGCGCTCTCCGTTCGCTTCTCTTCGAGCGCTTGCTCGAGTGCACCGTTTGGAAGGAAAAATATAGCCAGTCGTTCAAAATACAAATGTGCGATCATCATTTACGGTTATTATTCGTCATGCTTGACTCATTTCTGAACGAAATCTGAATATTTAAATTTTTGTTTCCGTACCCTTCAACATCAGGTCTGATACGGGAGAAGAATGTCTTTATATCATATAACGTTTCACTCGTTTTTAGCTGTACTCCTGAGGCGGAAGGAGTAGGGTAAGAGGGTTAGAGAGGTCTGTGATGATGAATGAAAGCTAGATCAGGTTATTAATTTCTGTCTCCCTGATGTAGTGCATCAGGGAGTCGAATATGGCCTTTCTGCGCTGTGGGGTACCCCTTGGACGGGCCCACTCCTTCAGCGTCATGAGTTTTTCTTGTCCTTGGATGCCATCTAGGGCTTCTTGTTTGCGCCACTCCAGACCTTTGCGGCCCCAGAGCAAGTGCTGAAGTGTTGAGGAAGCACCCTCGGTGCAAGTCTTGCACGTTGGGTCCCCTTCTTTTATCGATCCAAACAATGTAAATTTTGCGGGTGTCAGGGCAGTTCCAGTCCTGATCCTACTGATGCTTACGAGATGACACACTGGCACAATTTATTGGGTGGACCTTGCCCACTTCCTGTCGACGTTTATTTTCTAACTTTTTATGCAATACTGTTGAGGCCGGTTATAACGAAGTCAATCTGAATCAGAAATCACTTCACTATATTTGCTATGTCGTTATAACCGGCTTCGTTACAATCGGTCTTGACAGTATTTCTTCACTGTGGGTTTGAAATAATTCTGGCAATCTTATAAGCGACCATTTTTTTAAAATTTTATCTCACAAATATTTCAAAACTTTGTCTATTTTAGGAGATGTACGCAGTCCGGTATTGGGCTAGGGCTACCCTGTAAGTGGCACCACTGTATTATCCCGCTGTAAGCAGTCGGAAGTGGTTGTAATGCAGTCTGTCACGCTCGGACAAAAATGCCTGAACCAGCCTTGTGGCTTCTAGTTGTATGTGTATAGTTTAATGCATTAATCATAGTATGCAGATTTCATAATTGTAGACCGTATATCATACATCCTATCATTCCTCGAGTATAAAGTAGCCAGTCCCAGAATATGGGAACAGATTTTTCCCGTCATCAGATAAACATTAAATTGAGCTGATGTACCGACCAGCCTTGTTGGCAAACCTGCAGACCATCTTGCAAGAGCTGTCTTTTTTTTCTTTTCTTTTTCAGGGTACCTGAATGAGACCTTAAACGACACCCCGAGGAATGGCCCCCGATGACAGCCATGTAATGTACATATGCAACCCTATTGACCTGTATAGAGAAATTAAAAATTTTAGTAAGAGTAAAGGTAATGTTTAATCCTATTATGGGACCAGCTGTCTTCTAATGGACATCATGACGACGCCTCGCTGATTGTCAAGAAATCTGGCTGCTGGCAAACACGAACATTGCTGCGTTGAGGGGATCCCACGGAAGTAGCCACTTGCAAGGAGTCTTGTGAACATAGTTGGCCTATGCGTGCTAGTGTGCAAGGGGGAATCGCCTTTGAATTTATGCAATACTGGGTCGCTGAACTCGTGGTACATATAGGTTCTTTGTGCTATGACGTAGTGGGGAGAGTGACCGAAAGAACACCACAAAGTTTTCTTTTCTCACAAACTTGCAGATCCGTTTATCTTCGTGACGTTCTTCATTGAAGGAGCAAAAAATCCCTACCACTCCCTAGGCGCCGAACAAGAGCAGCACGAGAAAACACGTTGAGACGACCCTGGTTCATGTGTGTGACCTCACGACAAAGATTAGATGCTGCAACCAACATGTTTGATGGTCTTTAAAAAGCACGGCGGAGGCTTGGGTAATTGCATTTTAAAATCAACACCGTCGAAGTTGACAGTCTAATACCATTTTTATTTACGCCGATAAAGTAGAATGAACTGGAAAACGTCCATCGTTCATTTAATTGTTATTGGCCTTTTGGGTATGACCAAGGTGTAGCCGTGTAGCCCAACGTGACTAAGTCAGAACCAGCCGAGCAGCTTTCGCCTTCGGGCAGATTTCGCCTCTGGGCAGTTGTCTTCCCCATCAGCGGGTTAAAATCATTTTGCTACTTTTTTTCTAAGTAGTGACTATTGGCCACGTAGGCTACCAAGAGCGTCAGTGTGGTCGGCTTTCCCAAATTTAAAAAACTAGGGTTGATTCTGCTTTCGTCTATGGAAATAGGAGTAATGTTAGTCTGTCAATATTGATGGGGATGTTTTAAGCATGCAACGACTCAAAGCTTTTATCGTGCAGAATGTTATTTCTGTGTCTTCTTCCACTTTTTCTTTCAAGTTTCCTTCCCAGTCTTAGGATTTTAACATCATGATCAACATTCTCCAGCTCGCCTGCACCTTGACAATTTTTTCATTAAGCTTATCACCTATGATTCAAACACTCATCATTGAATTTGTCGTTCGCAACTAATAATCCTGAACCTGACGTCAAAGGTAGGAACTATAAAAGGATGTAGCTGAGTGTGCCTTGACACATTATGAGCTTTAGCAACAGCCTCTCGCTTGAAAGTCTGTCATGCCCACTGGTGAGTTCTTGGAATGCAAACCGTTTTAATTTCAGAACCCCTAGAACCATTATGTTGTTAATCGCACGCTGTGCTGTTCCTTGTCGTCAGTTGGAATTCCTCTAAGCAGGGGTGTCGAAACGAGTATGAAGAGGGGGTGATTTTGAAGAGGGAGCAAGAGGTATAAAGCGGTTATGGGGAGAGGCAATCATGCCAGCCCCAGAGCATAGCCTCCTTTATAGTAGTGATCAGACATTTCAGAAAGGTGTAATAAAAAAATTCAGGGGAACGGATATCCCCATTTGCTTCCATCACCCCCCTTTCCCTCTCTCGCAAACATTTTCTACAACACTTCCTGACACCAAATTGTTTTTATTTTTGTTGTACCTTTTTTTATTTTGTTTTCGTTTTTTTTTTCTCGCTATCACTCGTCGCCCCCCTCCTGTCACAAACACTGCCGACGTCACTACCCACACCGCCTCTCGGTAACCCCGGTAGCATTGTTGACAGTGGCGAAAGATATGCTCTAAAGCCGCGTGCGCCGCGCACGGCTCCACAATATCACGAAGTTCAATCTTCACCTCGGTTCCGAAGTGAAGATTTTGGCCTCAGATAACTCCTCCCCAAAATTGTGAGACATCACTTTGTCGTCACCGATACTTCCACAAACGACGATCTTGCAACAAGAAAGTTAGTATTCACAGCCCGCCTAGGGACAATCTATAGTCGGTGATAGGTCAAGAACGAAGTGGAAGCTCCCCCCACCTCTTTCCACTTTAGCGGAGCAAATGCTGGAGAGAAGCGCGACCTCCTCTCCACCGTTCGTTCGGCTGAAGTGGAAAGGGGTGGGAGGAGCTTACACTTCGTTCTTGGCCTGTCACCGGCTATAGACAACATTGAGTCTAAAGGCACGTTCATACTGGAGATGTGGAGCGCTCGCTCGATGCGACTAGGTCGCATCGCAAAAACATGATGGTCACACTGGCGTGCACAATCTCGTCCCGCGTGACACCATTGTCGCAAGAGTCTACTCAGTACGCTCCGCGAACTTCGGCCCCAACTTCGTTTGACGAGTTTAGCGACCCTGCAGGGTCTCCATTTTTTTTTTGCAAGAGCACGAAAATGGTAAAGAGAATTAGCGTAAAGTGCTTCTAAGTTTCATAATTTTGTTTTTCTGAAATTTAAAAGCATATAAGTAAGTCTGCTATGTAGTTCATTAATCCGAAAAATGCAGACTTGCATCAGTCTATCTGTACGTAACTGATAATTTGCAAACGATTCGGCAAGACTATCCAAGATCTAGGTTTTCAGTCCAGTGTGCCAAGATCAGTTCACCAGACGGAAGTTCTTCCCTTGAGAGTAATCAAATTGCACACGAAAGGCACAAACACAGATGGCATCGACCAAGGCATGGTTTCTACACTTTTGTATCCCTAGAAATGTCCATCTCTCATGAATGGCAGCCAACAAACTTCCGGTCTTAAAATTGATGCTATAAAAGCTTCACAGAAGCCTATAGAGGCTTTGTAAAGAATAGCACACATACAAGTGAACTTTTTGCACATCGTTATGCATTGGTGGATGGCTGAATTGGGAGAACAGTTCGTTTTGGAGCCAAGAAAATTTCAAAGCTCGAGGGAATGCCCCGCGGTTCCCGGGAACCCAGTTTGGGTTCCCGGGAACCCCGGGAACCCAAACTCAAACATTCAGTGCTACTTCTTTTTCGTCGCAACTTTTTTTTATTGCTCAAATCTCCACCAGCTTTCATCAAAAGTAGTAGCAGTAGCAGCAGCAACCTGTTTTCCTTCGCTAGGCCCCAAAAAGCGTAAAAGTGTCTTTTCACAGCTAAGCTGACTAGAAGGGGGGAGGACAAAATTTGTTTGCAGCTATCGACTAGGAGTGTCTTCAATAAGAGCCATTCCCACCAGATTGCACCAAGGAGAATTTTTTCTTTCTTTTTTTGGTTTTGTTTGAGCGAAAGAACAAAAGCGACGTGTAGGGGTTGCGCGCAGACAAGTGGGGGTCTGGTGGGGGGCTGGAAAAGGTGGTCCTCTGAGTCTGTGTGGGCTGGATGAGGTTTTTGGGGGGGCCCGTGCACTTAAGCCGCTTTCTCGAGGCGGATGAGCTCCAGAATGCCGTCCTGCATCTCCTTGACCGCCTGGTACTCCGTAAGGCCCATGCGCCTTTTGTTGGAGATGTCGTAGACGCCGCCCTCACTCTCCGTGTGCTCCCCGCGGGTGCCTGCAAAGGACGGCGGGGCATCGTTTTGTCTGTGGGCAGAAGCACATGTTTCATAACACGCCTGCTATAATCTAATTGGCAAAGGAGTGTTTAGTCAGAGCCCCTATTGTTTTGTTGAAACATGTTTCGTGGAAATTAACTGGGGTCGCCTGCACCCTTACGATTTTTTCTATTTTTCGTGGACATACATTTTATAAACGAACGTTTCGTCGACAACATTTTTTTTTTATAAGTGCGTAATAAAATTTGAAAGCCGCTAAAAGCTAGCGCATGATTTACTGATGCGCGTTCATTCGAGCCTTACCCCCCTAAACCAGGCAAAACGCAACATGTTTGTTCTGAAAACAGCAGGGTTCTGTTCGAGGAAACGCCGCAAGGTGTGCCGATGAAACGAACGCTGGAAGCCTTTCGATGAAACAAACTTAATGATATGTCGCATGTCTACAAAACAATCAGTAAATAAAACATTGTTCGACAAACTGATTACCGCCAGTTTTATCCGCACACATTGTCCTGTACCAAAACCAGTAAATACCGAACATTCTCGTACCATCCTTGCAAGCAGACCCTTTCTGAAACTCTGACAATCTCTCAGTTAAATCATCTCCATCCGAGTTTTGGCATGGGAGCTGTGCTGATGGCGGCCTTCTAGGTAAATGCACTCAGACTAATGATAAAAAGAATGTGCATTCGGGACTTTGGCACAATACGACGCTCAAATATGATCCTAGCACTGCATCGGCATTATTTTCAGAACCAGCTTGGTCTAATCAATCTTTCGGCACACACTTTGCAAGCAGGAGAAATCTGCAAAGGGATGTTCGTGATGTCAGGAGCAACTCCTGCCTCAGCTTGGTCAAAAAGCCGGTGGAAGGGCTGTTAGTGGTTGAATTTAGGGTTTTCCACTTTTGACACCACAGCAGACGAATTTTGCAGTGTCTACTCTTGACACCAATGCTTTTGACGACGAAATATCGTTAAGAGCAAGGTTATCCACCTCCGTGCCAAAATTGTTTGTACCACCCGACATCCCCCTCCACTGGGAAGCTGTTGTCACTGCATCCCGAAAGCGTGCCGTTATGTGCTACGTTCCAATGTGATGCATGCCACCTGATGCGTACTACTCTGTGGAGAAATCTCTCGGGTAAATACTGCACTGACACCCTCCAGTTTTTTTTTTTTGCCAGGCAATTTATTATGGTGTCAGAAGAGTACCCAATCAATGTTTTGCTACAGCGTCGCATATATTTTTAATAAAGTCAAGAAACGCAACTGCTTGAAACCGAAACTGAACTGGGGAGAAAGAAGAAATCTAGTAGAGGAGAGAGAGTTGGCGGAAGTCACGTGGCTGTGCAACACTGTCTTTTTTTACCCAACGTACTTGCAGCTTTTTAGAAGCCACAAATATTGAGTATCATATTTCTTTTCTATTTTTAATATTATGTATGTGCCTTCGATGGCCCACGACTTTGGTGGCTGTGTCTAAACCATAGAAAACGGCGCATCACAACGGAGAAGGGTGAGCGCGACTCAAACCGGCAAGTTCTCGATCGGCGGTTTTCGGGCAGAAAGGAAACGAATTTCGAGCTGTGAATTGTTTTCTGGGTAGTTGGGCTCTCATATGTGATGTACAAATGAAAACCTTGGCGAGCATAAATACCCTGTCAGTGTCCGTTTAAAGCTCCCTTGCGTGAAGAATTTGATCTAGGGGCCTTCTCGGTTAGCTCACTTCTCTATTGTAAAGATTTGTGGGTTAGCCACTCGTGCTGACCGGTTCCTTTTTTTATTTTTATTTTATCACCATTTAAACCGAAACGGATCAAGAAAGAGCTGTGCTACAATGAACGGGTTGCTGCTAGGAATTGCCTAACGTTACTAAAACCGTTCAGTTGGGAAACCGCCATAGAGCCTGCTCTGAAAAAGTGGCACCGATCCGCACTCGAGAAGCGAAATAATGGCGATCGCAAGGCTGCCATTTCTCCCGCAGCAGTCACCCGGGGAACTGCAAGAGTACCGCATTCAATAGCGTGCACTGTGACTTCTATTTTGACTTATCGGCAATTTCGGCGCCAAACATATATGTGGAAAGGGTTTGAGGATGCTAACCCCCTCCCAAGCGGACGCGCCGCTGAATACTACTAAAGTTAGGACGCGCCCAGGTCGGAACGCGCTACCTGAAACCACCGGTGAGACATGGTTGTATAAAAACAATATTTATTGTGCCGCAAAACCTTGTAAATTAAAGATTTTAGAACTTCACAGACCTGCCATTTTGCCCTAATCTCCAATAAAAGTTCCTACAAAGAGAGCTTTTTTTCCGTTCGTTCCCACGCAAAACATGCTTTTTAAGACTCATGGTGACCACAATAAAGACAAAAGATTGAGCCGCCATCTTGGCACCTCGAGCCTGGGAGTTTCGGTACTCTGTGAACATTCAGTGACCCTAGCAGTAGCCATATAAGGCAAATCTCATGTTTCAACTTGTCACTAAAGGGTGGCGCTGTTACCGAATTTAGCTCGGTCTCGGTGGACGCCAGCGGTCCGGGTTTCAAGGGTGAGTTTCCCAACTGAGTGTTTTAGTAACGTTGCCATTGGCGTACCAAAGGGACAGTGCCTGACGAACCAAAAAAATTGTGTTGCTTGTACACCTCCATGGGTGACCGGTTTCTTAGCTGTAGATGAGAAATTTAGCCAGCGCAGTACTGTACAACCGCTAACCTGGGGTCTTCAACGTGCGCCACGCGATTACACGACCGCTTACCGGTACGAAACTCGTCCAGATCGAAACGGGCGCCTGACGAACCATTGCGTTTTCAATGCACAACTGCCATTAGTGTGGCAAAAGTCCGGACGCAGCGGACGCTACGAGTTATCCTAGTCTTTAGGGAGGTTTCGTAGACCGCATTTTTTCCTCCGCTAAGCCCTCCGCAACGAAGCAGCCGCTACAGCGCCGGCGCGCCAATGGCCTTGACTAGAATTCCGTCTAGCGCAACTGGTTTCGGAAAGCGTTGCGGAACAGCGGAAACGATCAACGAAAACTCCCTATTAGGGAGTTGGATCTGATTGCTCGTAGCATCCGCTGCGCCCTGACGTAAGGTGTTCAAATTTCAGAAAGAGTCGATTGGGAGCGCGCATCGTTTTGTGGGGAGAACGGCAAGGCCCGGTTCGGCGGCTCTCACCTCGAACCTGGAGGTTGTACTTTGCGGCGATACTCTCAAGCTTGGCCTTGTCGGCGGCCAGCTTGGGCACCTTGATGTGCACGCTGGCCCGGATGGTCGTGCCCAGGTTGGTCGGGCAGAAGGTCAGGAATCCCAGGCGGCTGTCCCGCGAGAAGGGCAGCTTCGCCTCGATGCTGTTCACGGCCTTCACCAGGCGGCCAAACACCTGCACACCACCGACGCGTCAGCCAAACGTTCCGCTTAGCTCTACAAGTCCAAGTTTTGCGGGCTTTGCCCCCATTACCTGAAAGCACCCAGTGCGACGCCGACGCGGTTCTACTTTGTTCACCGCTGAGCTCACAATGCGGTGGAACCTACGTCGCCTACGTGCTCTCAGCACGTGAGGTCGGGGTCAGGTGATAAAAGAAAGAAGGTTGATTGGTCCGGCGAGCATGTAGCTCCCACAGCACTGTCAGCTTAACCGCATGTTTTTTTTTTTTTTTTTTTTTTTTTGTTTTTTTGCTAAAGATTTAGCTTTCTTTAGTAATCTTCTAAACGTCCTTGTAAACTAGAGAGTTTTAGAAGATCGTTCCGATACCCTCCGATAACGATACTACGTATGCGCAAAGGCGGGAGCGGGGTATCGGGTATCGTTATCAGCATCATCGGAACGATCTACCAACACACTCTTGTGTGAAACTAGGGTGCTTTCGTAGATCGTTTCTTCCGTCCCGCAACCCGCTACGAGATCCAGAACTCTGCAGTCAAGGCCAGCAGCGGGCACGCGCACTAGCGGCGTCTTCGTTGCGGAGAGCGGAGCGGAGCGGGGAAAGCGGTCCACGAAAACTCCCTCCTAAGATGATGAAGTTGAGCGTTGAGTAGGGCTCTATCCCTGTCGTTTAGTGTGCATTCAGCGGGAAAGTAATGAAATCGTTTTGATGCATCTATTCCAGGGGTGGCCAGGTTGGCCCGGCCTATGAGCCGCAAACCAAACCAAGAAACGTGTAAAAGCCGCGGGGGGGGGGGGGGGGGCGGGGCGGGGGGCGGGGGCTATGAATGATGTCAACCCGGGCTTCCGCGACCTTCAACAAGGAACGATAGGGAACATCCTTCATCTAAAGGGGAGAAGTATCACCGGGGAATGACGAAGGCCGCGAGACTGATCATTTCCTCGACCCCAAGCCAAAGTGCATGCATGGTTTGACGGTCCCTGTCCTTGATGCCTTTCCACCTGGGGTATGGCGAACTCCCTCGAACAATGAAAGGAACACGATCTGTGGAAGCATACGAGTGAAAAGCGGTTCGACTGTACGCAGGGGGGCACAAGGCTGCCAAACCGCAAGCTGGTCTTTATTCTGAAATCCTTGGGAAACGCGGAAAGGGCGAAAGGGGAGAAGGGGGGGGGGGGGGGGGGGGTTCCCTTACGAGGGACCCGCGAGCCGCACTTTGACCAGTGAAGGGCCGCATGCGGCTCGCGAGCCGCGGTTTGGCCACCCCTGATCTATTCCAATGATGAAGGGAAACCAATAGCACCCACAATCTTTGCTTGTTTTTTTCCACGCACTTTTTTTTTCTTTGCCAGGTTTGCTGATTTAAAATACTTCCGATATAGTTAGGACCACCATGTTTGTAAAGTACCCTCGGCTAGGGAAACGTTGCTATTTGAAAATTCATATCTGTCCCTCCCGTTTTACGTTCCTCAGTTCGTAAGGGTTTTACCAGACTTGTTTATTTCTAGTTTCCACGGGCCTGTTTGTTAATCAAAGTGTATTTCCACAGATCTCTACACTTCTTGGTGGTTCCCGAGGAATCCACCACACTTTGCAAAGGCTAACTGCATGGCTACACTTGTTATTCAATAGACTATGCTTACCTGTGCACTTTTAACTGTAACCTGTGTCTATAGTGTAAGAATCATATTAAATGCGCTACCATTTCTTTAGGTAGCCTCCTGTGGACAATCCTCGTCTGCAACACGAAACAATTTAGCCTCCTCCTCTCGTTATCGCTCGTACGCTGCGCTCAGTGGAAGTGCTGCCATCTTCACAATGCATCTTGTCTCTTGCGAGGCATTGTGAAGTTTCAGGGACGGACTGTAAAAGAGATAACTGGGTCAAGCACTTCTTTTTTTCCCTTTTCTTTTTGTGTAGGAGCGTGCGTTTTCTGCACGGTCACGCTCGCGGCATCACTCTCACTGAAGAGAAGCTGGCTGAACGGAAGCAGCGACGTGCCGAGTATCGCAATGCTCGTCTTGCCAAAGAGATGCCAAAGGAGAAAGAGCGACGGGGGGGGGGGGGGGGGGGGGGGGGGGGGTTACCGGAATATTGCGTTCATGGTAGACAACCAATGCCATTGCATTTCGATGTAGTTTACGGCGATGCATCGCAAAGCACATTCCCGTTAATTGTTGTTGTTTATATGTTATGAAACAGAGTTTTTTTTTTCTATGGATATCACTTGGATATCACTTTTTTGGTATGGATATGGATATCACTTTTTTCTATGGATATCACTCTATGGATATCACTTAGTTTGCTGCCTAATGTACAAGCCCCATATATACATTTTTTTTTAAAGCGCGATTACACACGGTGGCACGTGACCCTCGAACCGGTATGATTCCTATCGGAGCAAGTGAAAATCAGTTCATGTGGAGTTTAATTATGGACCTGGTCCGAACTGTAACCTTTGGGACTAGTTCCAGCCGGACTGATTTTCACCTGGGCTACCGTTGCCGCGTACGGGCCAGCAGCGTGCCATCGGCCCCGTGGGCCTCACCTCCTTGAGGTCGCCTCCCTTCTGCATGGAGATGATGCGGAGGTGGTCCTCCTCGTTGCACCAGACCAGGAAGGTCTTGGCGTCGTTGTGGTAGATGCCCCTGCCCGTGGGCCAGTAGCGGCACGCGTTGGCCGCCTGCAGGAAGCGGTCGCCCTCCTTGAAGAGGAAGTGGTCGTCGATGAGCTGCTGCTGCGTCTTCTTGTCCATGCCGGTCAGCGGGTAGTAGGTGCCCTTCAGCTCGCCCTCCAGCGTGCGCAGCGTCGAGCTCACTTTCTCCTCCATCTCGCGGTACTGGGCCTCCGTCAGGCACGGGTTGAACGGGTAGCCCTGCGTCCGCATGCGCGGTTCGATGGCGCACCGAAAAACAGTTTCCGGTCAAGCCAAGACATCGGAGGACCTGCCAGCCTGTAATACTGTCATCACGCTTCGTTGTACTTAAAAAAAGAATGATTTGGGATATGGGAACTGTAAACACTTGGGTCCTAAACTCGTCAAACACAAAGTTGGAACAGAAGTTCACGGAGCGCACCGATTTGACTATTACGACGATGACTTCGCACTTTTGTCGCAGGCGTCCAGTCGGCGCGCTCCGCGAACTTTTGGCTCCAACTTTGTGTTTGACGAGTTTAGAGCCCCAGGCCCTCTAAACTCGTCAAACACAAAGTTGGGGCCGAAGTTTACAGAGCGCACCGGTTGGACTCTCGCGACGACGACTCCACCGCTTTCGCCGCCGGAACCCAATCGGCGCGCTCGGGTAACGTTTTGGCTCCACTTTAGCGTTCGTCAAGTCTTCGTTTCACGCCAAGTCCGAGCGCGACCGATATGCCACTCAAGCAGCGCCGAAAGTGCATCGTCACGGCGCTCGTCGTGTTTGTACGTCTGCTATCCCCGGCTAAACCAATCGCGCACAGTACATGGGACATAATCCTGCAACATAATCAACGTGGGCTTGTCGCTAAACCTAGCGGGCGTTGAACATAAAAATTCCTAGATAAACGGCGCTCCCTGCGCCTACACGTGCCGGCTACGTGACGGTGCAGGTTTTAGGAAGTGAATGACGGCGCACGGCAACAAAATGAGTCGCCGTGCAGCAAAGTGAGGGCGTCTCCTATTCTCTCCCTCGTGTTTCTCGGCACATGACGAGATGCTTCACGCGACGCGTTCGATGCGAACTGGACTCGCCTGCAACGAGCGTCCACAGCGCACGCGGGTGGAGATGACGAACTGGTCGTCGGGATCCACGTTGACCAGGGTGTTGAGGTCTCCGAAGTCCGTGGGCGGGTGCTTGTCGGTCGCCTTGAAGCCGCCGTGGTAGTCCTCGATCACCGGGTTGAACAGGTCGGCGAACAGCGTGTACGCTTCGGCATCGGGGGCGTACAGGCCGACGCCGCTGTCGAGGTTCTCCACGCCTGGGACGCAGGTAAGGCGCGCATCAGCATGACGTTACCTCGACATCCCCTTGACTGAAATTAACGCTCCACTGGGGAGAGAACGAAACGCCTCCAGCCAATCGCATAATTGACTGGTGCTTTTTTTTTTTTTTTTTTTTTTTTTTTGCAGTGGAGCTGTTAAGGGCTAGTCAGGCTAGTTTCTCTCAGGATCGTGTCCTCCAGCGAATAAATGTCGACAGAACACTCCGGACAGCTACCGCCATCTATGAGCGACGGCGGTAACCAGACAACTGACTTGCCGGTTGTCTGGTTGCCGCCGTCGCTCATAGATGGCGGCAACCTTTCCAGCCTTTCCACTCTGGCTCGCCGACTTGCGGCCGTCCATTACTTCATTCCCAAAATAGTACAGCTTCGCTGGTCTTCCTTCTTCACTAGAGTGGAAAGGCTGAAAGTTTTTTTATTGTTTTTTTACTCACTTTTTCGCATTTTGTTAAGACATAATATTGAGGAACACCATGCTTCACACAGTGTTGGGAAGCACTTTAAGTACATTGTACTTAAAGTACTAATTTAAGTAGGTTTAGAACACTTGCGCTTTACTTGAAGTACATTTTCTGATTATCTACTGGTACTTCACTGAAATATTTTTTCTGGTACTTTTTAAAGAAATTGCAAATCCCGACTTCAAAGTAAATTCCCCAAATTCGGTCTTATTAAATTTGTATCACAAAACGGTGCTTTGTCAAGCGTGAAGATATATTGGGAGGAATATATCTACTCCCGTCCGAGACGCGAGCAGACGACGCATCTCCGTTTGTACTGGGGGCGGCTCTCCCGTGGCATTTTTAACCCCCTCTACTTCTTGCTCGATCAGTGCGAGCGAGGAGACTTGAAAATATTAATAGAGGGCAATCCTTCATGAGAGGATTCCTTGCGGAATCTATAGGGCTGGCGTCATGCTCACTCCGTCACGAAAGATTGTGATAAAAAGTACTACTCTACTTTGAAAGTACATTGTATTTATAGCACTTAACTTGAAGTACATTGCATCTGGTGTACTTACTACTTTACTTGGAGTACATAACCTCTAATTTACTTTGTACTTCAAGTACTCTTTTAGATGTACTTTACTCAAGACTGACTTCACCGCGTTTGATCGCCAAGCGAGCACTTTGCACCACTTGTTCTCGTTCACTCCAAAGCTGACGATGTGATGGAAGGTGATACGTGCTCGTTGGCCCAGTCATTTGTCCATCTTTAGCCACGTGGTCACGCTCCCGCCTATATCCGCGCGTAAAGAGCCTGGTCGGGTGAGGAAAGGGAGGCATAAGTTAAGCTTTACTTGGTTTACGAGGCCAAGCCACAAGTGTTCCCGCCGCTCTTTCAAATCAAGAAAGCAAAAGTGGTTGTAATAAATCGGACATACAAGACGGTTGCTAGTCGAGAAAAGAAACCTAAGGATATGCATCGACAGCCGCGATGAAGGTCGCTGTTCTTAGCCGCGCTCTCCCGTGACCTGTTTTTCTTCCGCAAGCAATTCAGGTACGCTTTCTTCGGTGTATTGGCTTTCGAGTGCCGGATTGTCCCTCGAGGACCGTTAGCGGTCTCCCGTCGCCCTCTCACCGGCGAGCCTGGAGATCGAATTGTGGTCTTTGTCGCGTGGCGCTGACGACTTTCGCGAATCGTATATACAGCTGTGGTCCTCGTCCGGCGCCACGGGAACAGGGCAGCGAGTGGCCGCGTTCTCGTCAATCGACGAAGGCCGGGTGGGTTAACGAGCGAAGCGCACGACACCGCTACACATCATCGTCGATCCTCCGTGCGCGGACTCATTTCGCCAGCAGGGGCATTGTGGCGGTCCACGTGGTACGAAAGCCGCGAAGGAACAACCCGCAATGGACAGGGCGGATTGGGGGTCCCGCGGTTTCTCGATGGCCGTTTCGAGAAGGTGGCTTGGTGATGTTCCCTTTTGTGCATGAGCATGTCACCCGGGTGAAAAATGCTGAGTCACTGAGCTGTGGACGCATGTGCAGCGTCTGATATGCCGCACACCAGAGCAACAGCGCATGCTCAGAAGGCGTTCCACTGCCCTGTTGACGAAGATGGCAGCGAGCATAAGATGTAACCAATAGAATAACAGAGGTTATTTGTCTTGGGGCTTCAGCTGAATAGAGAAGCGGGTGTAGTTAACTTAGTCATAGTCGAGTATAAGGCAACGGGGGATGGGGAGGCAGCGCGAATTATGACAACGATGACAGCAGAAGTTGGCGAACATAGCTGTGTGTTCCATTTGTCACTATAGTCTTTGCGCCCGTCTTTCTTGATCTTCGACTGTATATATTTGAAAACAGCACAGTTTAGAAACTATACCGCGTCTTACGAGTGCTGTTTTTCTAGTGTACAAGATCTTATTTAAGCTTGAGTCTTTTTTAAGGCGTCGTGTATCCCCTGTCCTTTTGACTTTTGTTATGTCCGAAAACGACAGTTTTGAACATTATGGAATATTCTATTTGTTGTTCCGTCCCGCGTTTAGATCAACATGCTCTGGAGAAGAGCCTGTAAGGTATTGTGAATAATGAATAAATAAATTTGTCTCCTGGCTTTCATGTTAGTTTCTTTATTTATTCAGTACCAATCGGACTCATTGTGAAGTATCACTCGGACTTCTGTTACGTTTTCTGCGAATACTTTCAAAAACTCCTAAAACTAAAATGGTTAACAAAAAAAAAAAAAAAAAAAGCTTTTTTAGGGGGCAAATCGACAGCCACGGCGGGCGTCAAGGATTTCAATGAAAGAAAAACAGCATATTAGCAAACTAAGTACCTAAAATAAACTTAATGATTGGAGAGAAACGTAGGGTTCCAATTGGGAACTTGCCGGGTGTTATATCCCCGAAGTTAATACATCTTAGGACGACTTGAAGCACTGATTTAGTTCCTAACTGATACCATATGTCTGTTTTCACTAATTAAAAAATAATTACTTTGCAATTTTCTTCTTTTCTGATAAGGTTTTTTCTTTCGTTCTCGAACACTTTATTTGCTTTCTTTACTGTTCCGTGCCGCATTTAGATCTAACTTTGTCTTTCGCTCTTGACGTTTGGCTTTCTTTATTCAGTACCCACCGCACTCATTGTGCAGTTTGCAGTAGCCAATGCTCAGGGTCTCGGTAGACAAGCCTCCAGGCGGGGCAGCGGTATAGCTTTTAAGTGCCACGTGTTCGTATACGTATTTCGGCGGTGCTCAAATAAGCAGGAGGAGCGGGCCCGAGACTGCAGCCGGGCGCCGAAAACGAGCGGCGAGCTATTCCCAGTGTCGAGACAACAATCGACGAAAAACAGGCAGCCGGCTGCTCGGAAAAGGCCTTCCGGCCTTGCGCGTCCTGGCTAGCGTCCAAACTCCGGGCCCGAAACATCGGGCTTCGAAAGCCCCGTCCGCGGACTCGGGGCTCCTTCGTTCTGCACCGCCGCCGTCGTGCCTTGAGGTGGAAAGCTTCCGGCACGCGTGCACGGTGTACAAATGCCTTTTATATAATTATTGTTATAATTATTAGTGTTTGCTGGCGTTAGGCATTGTGTAGCGTACAACATAATTTTCCGATAACGAAAAAAAAAAAAAAGCCGTTTTCACACAGTTAATTATTTTTATTGATATGTTCCTGAATCTCGGTTCGCCAGGGGTCGGTCCTGCAGCAAAAAAGTATATAATAATAAAAAAAGAAAATTCAGATTTTTTCCTTCTTTTCTTAGGAAGCATCGAAAAATAAGAGTTCAGTGCACTTTAGCGAGGAAAAAAGAAAATGAAAGACAAAAGATATACAGTATAAGCTCTTGCGACAGTGATCGAGTTCGTGTCTTTTTTTGCCCTTTGTCTTCGCTTCAGGGCGCCGCTTTCAACTTCAGTTTGCAACTTTATAAGTTGTGCCGCGTTGGAGAGTTCCGATGTGGTTTGCGAACGTTTATTCTTCTACCCATCGCATTATTTTATTTACAACACAATCGGATTCTTCTTTTTTTCTTCTCTTTATCAGCGCCTTGACTACATCTGCGTTTACTTCACTCCAACTTGTAAAGTCAGATCGACGATCTATATTAATATAATAGTCCAAAAACAACAGATGTCCCGCTTAATTTTGGATCTTTCTTTCGCCGCGCACAGTTATTGAAGCAACGTGTGTACGCCTGACGATCATTCTTGCTGGCGCCGCTATCCGCAACTCAAATCGCACTATGATAATACGTTCAGCCGAAACGAGAACCGAATTATGTCACGCGTTACGCCGTAATAGATTTCTCGTGACTCTAAAATAATAAAAAAAAAAAGAAATGTAAAATAATTTTTAAGGGTTTTTCGGCATGTTCATAATTTGTCCCGAAAATGTTATTTTAAGCGCCCCCTAAAAGTGTTCTTCGTGACAAATCTGTAAGGGGATTTTTAAAATCCTTTTTCGATGTAAAAGAGTTCTTCAGCGCCCAGTTGCCTTTCTAGTGCGCCAGGGGGCAACAGTGCTTGAGGCAAAGCCGTTCTTCACGAGATGAAAGTGTTCTTGGGGCGTCAAAAAAAACCTTTCCAGAACGGATTATTTGTGTGTGTGTGTGTGTTTTTGGGTAGGGAGCACTCTTCGCTTTTAGTTTTCAAGTACGAGTATTTTTGTTTATTTATTTATTTATTGATATATTTATTATATTGCCCTCGGGGCCAAAGGCACGTCAAGAGCTGTTCACATTGCGCCGTTTTCTTGCGTTGCGTTAAGGCCCGTTCACACACTTGTCGCAGGCCAAGACCGTGAACGCACTGGCGCCACCTATTGGGTAGCCGTGAAACTTCTTGGCGGTTCCGTATATTTCCTACTTTTTCAGGCATCATTCTTTATTTTTGGCTTGATAGACTTTTATCATTGCTATAAACGACCCTTCCTCAAAGGTAGTGCGCAGTGCGCACATTTAACCTTGCGCTAAACCTGCTCTCTAGCGGAATGCAGCTCCAGGGTCACCGCATAGATGGCGCCAGCGTACTGGT